TGTTCTTATGGAGTGACTCTCCAAATAAAAAAGTGTACAAATCGCATAAGCCCGGAAAAATTTTTTTTTTTTTTTTTGTTGCACATTTTAAAGCAAACGTTGAATTTAATTTGCCATGAAAGTCACTTAGGTAACACCAAACCAGAAAACAAAAATTTTTTTAGAAATTTTGGATTGTCATTTTTCTTGAATAAACCACTAGAGTCACCGACAGAATTGGAATGGCAAGGTGCGTTTCGGAACCCCCGACCTCCAGCACGTGCTCTATGCGTCCCATCATGTTTTGCTCGTGCGCGCGCACTTGAGGTGCAAGAGACGTCAAAGCGTTGTCGAAGGTGGGAAGCTCGAGCTGAAGGCGGGGCAACCGAAGCTCCTCCCTGCCCAGCTCACCTATAGTACAGGAGCAACCTTCAAAACCACTTATCAAACTCCCACTCTGGATGCTGTAAACATTCTTCGCATCCACCAAAGCAGAAGGGTGAAAGCAACAGTTTTATCCACATTTGGCTTCCACATTTACAGCACGATAGTCAGAGTGAAAAGTTAAGAGTTCAGGGAAAGCCCCCCCCCCCCCCCCTTTCCAGTTTAGCAGAGCTAACAGTGGAGAGGTTGCCTCTTCTCCAGCATTTGCTCTGCTAAAGGGGAAAGGGTTCAGAGGGGCTTCCCCCACGCTCTTCACATGACACTGACTATAGTCCTTTCTTAGTGTTCTATGTTTCCCCCAAAATGTGAATAAAGTTTGAACGTAAACCAAAAGTCCCAAATGCCCGCAATCCTTACAGAAAAAAGAAAATCTGCAATTTTTTATAATGTTGACAGAGGCCAAAGACCACAAAATGTGTCAAGCACAAACCCCCACACGATACATCACACCGCTGTCGCCAACAAGTTTTGCCAGGAGCACAATGCTTCCAGAGTAGCTGTGCTACGCAGCTCGGTGGCTACAGTATTCGACTGCTACAGCACCAACCCAGATTCGAGCCCCGCTGGGGCTGAGGCGTCTGTCCTACATTTTCTTACGTCGAGTAAAATGTGTCGCTCGTTTGTGACGTTTCTTCTCGTAGCAAACGAACCATAAACACATTCTGCGTTAAAAAGCCCACCAAAAACACAAACTGGCAAGGAGCCCCACCTGAGCCAGGGGAGTGTGCTGCCCCACGGCCCCCGTGCGCACCGTCTTGGTAATGGCCGGGTGGGGGGCGGGGCCTGCCCCCGCAGACCCTCCCCCCGGTCCCGCCCCCTTCAGGTGGTTCTCCTTCTGGAGCAGGTCCAACTCCCTCTGCAGCTGCTGGCGCTTCATCTCCAGTGAGAGCTCCTCCTTGTAGTCCAGGGAAGCCTCATCCAAGGGCCAGTCCGCTGCAGAAACACAGCACACACGCTCCGCTATAATATTAAAAATTTTATCGGACAATAAACAAACAGAATTGCATACGGGCCCGCGAAAGCGTCTTCACGACAGCAACGTTCGCATTTTTTATTACCTTTTGCCGGAACTTCTACGACTGACCGCTGTGATCTTAACGTCCGACAGCGTGACACCCCCGCTTTTGCCACATCGTCGCTCGCCCCTTCGAGAGCATTTTCGATGCACGGGTCAAAAACAAAACACCAAAGACGCCGGTCTGAGATGCGTTCCGGACATTGCACTTGCGCTGCCTGCCACCTACCATCCGAGGTGCCTTCCCAGTTCTTGGGGGGCTTTGGCCTCCTTGGGGCGGTCCTCCTCGCCGGACGACGGGCTACGCGGCCGGGTCACCACCACCGTTTGACTTGATCTTGCTCTCCGCATCGGGACGTCTTGCCCGGCTACTGGCGGCGGCACCGCTACCGGCAGCCAAGCTCTTCTTCTCTGCCCCATCCGAGCAAATCATGGGAACCAATCAGAAGCGTCGGGTCAATGTCCATCAAACGGATCACCATTTAGGTAAAAAAAAGCAAAAAATATTTTGAAGGCGAAAGTTTAGACATTTGTCTAGACAGGGAGAAAGATCTAAGGTAAGAACTAAGGTAAATTGAAACGCCTCGGACAAATATTCTGCTAGAAAAAAATTTCCTTATAGTCTTGACAGTTATTAACAAAAATGGCTGTCGCGAGTGAATTGCATTAGAGGAATGATAAGAACAGGTTCAAACAGCAATCATTCTGTAAGCAATGGCGACTGATCCAAACGAAAGGTATGATGCCAATCCTGCTTGCTTCGCTGCAATGACCCCAGTTCGGAATGCCCGAAGGACGAAACAAAGTCTGTATGTTAGTGTTTCCCAGGCGGGTTCGATAAGATGAGGAAACTGATGAGAGAGGCAGTGAGGACAGCTCAGAGGTACTAATTTTGAGGCTGCTATGCATTTCAAGGCCAGAAAAAACGCAAAAAGAGCACGAATATGGCAAGGCGGCCGACCGCGTTAGAAAAAAACTCTCGAGACGGGGGAAACGCGGCGAAGCGGCCAGCAGAAAGGCGTTTCCTTGGACTCTTCATTACGCAACATTGGAAGTTTATCCTCGCTCAACAGCACCTTGAGTGCTTTATCTATGAATACATGCTTGTGCCGTCAGTGCAGCCGCTCCGATACCTTTGGGGAGGGTGACCGGCTCACGGACTCCTTGGACTCTGGCTGCTTGTGGCGGACCTTGTGCCTCAGGTCCCTCTGGGAAGAGTCCCTGCTAGCCGGGATCGGGCAAAACACATGAGGAAAGTACTTGAGGCAAAGTACAGCCTAAGTGGTGGAGTTAGCATTTCACGTACAGTGAAGGTACAACGAGTGTCAAGTACAACTTATTGGTGGACTTTGCATTTCGGGTAGACTAAGAGCACATCGAGAGAAATGTCCCTCACGTAAAGTATAGGGTGTCCGAAATGCAGAGGCTCTATCTAAAATGGGCGGTTATAATCGGTGCCTCCACATAGCAATCTAAACTTTTCATCAAAAGTGTATTTCACAGGTGGGTTTTACTTCGTAAAATTACAAGGCATAGCTCCCTTTCAGTATAAAATAGGGCCAAAAAACTTGCCAGGGTCAATGGCGGATGGTGACGACCGAGTCGAGTAGTAAGGCGCGTTTGGCACACGTATTGATAGATGGCGTCGGGAGCAGCGTCGGAAGGTGTAGCCGACCAGCAAAAAGCAGACAACACGCAGATGAAATCCGTCAGCAGCAAGAGCACCGTCACTTTGCAAATGCATTTACTTTTACTTTTGTTACTGCAAGTTTCGTTATCATTGTCCACATTTATTTTTAAACCAAAGGTGCATTACGAAAAGATTATGTTCGCGAGCAGTCTCGACATTGTTTAAGAGCAAGCCGAAACAAAGAGGTAGTGCCATCTATCAATATGTGTGCCAAACGCGCCCCACCACTCGACTCGCTCGTCTGCTTCGCCGTTGGTCGTTGACCCTCGAAAGATTTTTGGCCCCATTTTTTACAGAAAGGAAGCTACACTTTGTAATTATACGAGGTGAAACCCACCTGTGAAATAGACCTTCGACGAAAAGTTTAGATTGCTACGTGCAGGCACCAACTTTTACGGCCCATTTTAGATCAAGCCTTGGCATTTCAGACATTCTAGACATCAAACACCCTGAACTTTTAAGCAAAATTACCACACTTTTCAACACAGTCTGCCTTGGTACCTGCTTATTCGCACACAACATTGATGCAATGCAAATTAACAACACTTAGCAAGAAAAAAACAAAGCTTTGCTTTCACACTAAAAGGTAATCGTTGAAGATGACAGCTGGGAGCTATTGTCATTAGAGAAAGCCATTTATCAAGAACAAATGTGAGAAAAGGATTTGGAAGTCAACAACTTCATTTTCTTTAAAATCTACCCAACCATTTATTAGAAGTAAAATACAAGCACTCAAAACATACATGAAGCACTAACTTAACAAGCTACCAATTAAGCAAAGTACACAGCAAACCTGCTACAAACATGTCGCGCAGGTTTACACTAATGTAAATTCATAGCACCACCATCATGCTCTAATGCAAGGGTCTCAAACACACGGTCCGCGACTCGCTGGGACAGGGCCCGTTCCCACACCTCGAGCGTTAGAAATAGCACGCACCATAATGACCTCAGGTCACCAATTCCTTTTTGCCCAAAACCTAGCTCTGCTCTTATAACATATGCACATAGTTTATACTATTCTGTTTTCATTCACCTACTGTTTCGTTTTAATTTTTGTTTCCCAGCTTTTTGTCATGTTTATCACCCGTAGGACAATTCTGCTACTAGGCTGCAACCACGAGCTCTTCACTCAAGGACGCACGTTGGATGCACAAACTTTCACTTAGCAGAATTAACTGCCAAAGATAAAGCCATGAGCTCAGGGTTCTCGCCTTTAAAAATATGATTATTAAAATGTGACTATCTCCTCCGACTGCTGCCATAAAAGTCGTCATGAAAGCAAGAGCTGCCGTATGAGGACACTTTCTTTTTCCCTAGACACGATGAGTTTGGTTAATTCCCGAGTGAATAGAGCAACGGGAACGGTAGCGTGCTTGCTCCTAAAGAATGCCAGTATGTTGGCAAGGCGGTGCCATTTTAATACTTGTTATTACATCGAGTGGTTAGGGCCCAAAGTAACGCTATAAACAAATCCAAGCTAAAGATGTTGCTGGCAAATCTACGAGTTTACAAAAAGCAGAGCACAAGATCTCTTCTACATTAATCTCTCGACCCCCCCCGCCCCCCCTTTACATAACCAGTGAAATTTCAAAGGTGGGTTACCTGCCCCTGCCTGCCTGGTCTGCCCTGGTCTGCCCTGGTCTGCCCTGCCCTGCCCTGGTCTGCCCTGCCCTGCCCTGCCCTGGTCTGCCCTGCCCTGCCCTGGTCTGCCCTGCCCTGCCCTGGTCTGCCCTGGTCTGCCCTGCCCTGCCCTGGTCTGCCCTGCCCTGCCCTGGTCTGCCCTGCCCTGCCCTGGTCTGCCCTGCCCTGGTCTGCCCTGCCCTGCCCTGCCCTGCCCTGCCCTGCCCTGCCCTGCCCCCCCCCCCCCGACTCAAATGAGTTTAAGGTTCTCGCTCTAAAGCATCACACGAAGTAAGAAAGAGAGAGTTCACTCTGTCTCTCATAGAAGGGAAGCAAGAAACAATCGGCCCCACCTGTCGGACTTGGGCGGCCTGGAGGAAGAAGAAGAGGGCGGGGGTGGGTATGCCTCGTGCTGGTAGCGGCACTTGGTCCCATAGGAGCATGCCCCGCTGCGCATCCAGTTCCTGCACTTCTCCCCGGGATCGTTACTACGACTGTGTCTCTGACACACGGAGGGAGGGGACACACACGTCAGCTCGGGGGGGTGAGATGCTCGCTCGACGCAAAACTATCGCCAATGACGAGGCGAGAACAGCAGGGCGCCTCTTTTCAATGTCCGGCCACCGCCACGCACTCGAGGCTCACAAAACGCCCGAGCGTTATCGAAGGGGGGAAACTCGCGCCGGAGCTCCTTCCTGCTGTTCTCGTCCTGCCAGTGATTATGGCAGTACACACTTTGTGAAGCCCCTCTGAGATAACAAAGCTGTAGTGCTTACATTTCAACATCGCCTAAAGAAGGCCAACGTGGGGCAAAGACTGGACACAAGCGACATGTCGGCGTGGGGTGAGCTTCGTGTTCGATCGGCGAGAATGCGAGTCCCCGGCTGAAAGCCGACGCAGCGTGCGTCCAACCCGTGCCCCTACTGGCTTTCTTTAGGCGACGCAAAAATTTTGGTTATGGCTCAGTTGTCTAGGAGGTATTGCTTCGTATCAATTTCTTCGTGCAACGCCGGGAAAGGCCGTTACGGCCTCTCAAAGTGTAGCTGGTGCCACGCGACTGCAGGGGCACTCAAGGAGGCTCTTGGACCGTTAACGACAGAAAGAATGAAACTGCGCCTTATTTCTGGCGCCATCTGTCTTGCCAAGTCAGGACTACATGTTAAGAATTTCGGGGATTGCGTCGTTGACGATACCATGCCTGCCTAGTTCGGAAAAAGCAAATCCGGTAAACTTTCTAAGCAGGGGAGGTAGCGGTTTTTTTAAAAGAAATATTTACAACAAATTTACGCGAAGACGACTTCATTAAATTTATATTGCATTGCACCGCCCATGCTGGCGAAGTATAGCTGGGCCTTGCTATCATTCCAGTAGTCTGTTGCGAAGGCAGAAGCTCCTTGTTTACGAAGCGCGAGGAGGGGGGGTTGGGTTTGCAATTTCCGAGAGATTTTTCTTTCAATCGTAAAATTATACAAACTGGTCAAAATACGAGAGTCTCCCGGGTAATATGGGAGACTTGGCAGGTATGCAATACCGTGTTGAGGTGCTTCTAAATCACCGGTTTATTTAATAGCCAATTACCATTAACTTCAGCATGCAAAGCTCTCTCTCTAAAAGACCTCGTCAAGTGCTAAAATCTTCTGAAAATTTTGAAGATGAACTACTAAAATGACAATACGATGGCATCCGAAGTGAAAAATTCCAACAGCAACACATATGCATGGAAAACTGGGAGACATTGGCACTCCACAGAGCAGAGAGGAGACAAGTTTTACTGCCTCTTTTACCTACTAGTTTGTGACCTGCTAAAATAGGCACCTTTTCTTGCTACACTGAGAAAGCTCGGAAGGCCTTACCGAACGTCGCGCAGAAGTTTTAACGCAAAAACACAGGGAACAGCCGAACTTCAAAAAAAAAAGTATAAGTATGAAAATCCTCCCGTACCCATTAAAGTTTGTCGAAACATGGCAGTACATGCATCCAACATCCTTCACTTGCACATGAGGAAGCCGCAAAACCATGGAAGCTCTACATCCTCAACCCCACTCCGTTCACCGCTAAACTGACGGGGTGGAGCGAGTCATGTGCTCATAGGACCAATCAATTGCCTACCTTTTATTACTTGACCCCACTCTCTGCATTGGAGTATGCAGAGTATGATCACACGGTACAAGAGCAATGACTGACCGGTCCAATGAGCATGCAGCTTCCACTGCCCTGTCAGCTTATCGGTGAATGGAGTACAGCTGACTGGTATCAGGCAAAATGAATCAGTTACGATAGATACTAATGTGACACCAAACTATGACAGTGCAAGCAGAACAAAAAGCTTCGCCTTTCGGTGCCTTACCACACGACACATTGTGACAATGCAGCAAAAGCTGCGAGCACGCCTGTGCACGTCTCACCACACGCCAGTACTGTGCACGCACTCGCAGAACTGGGCATCTCACACCGTGTTGCTACAGAGTGTTGTATTAAGTGTTGGGGTTTGTATCGAATCGTGGAAGCATGTTTTGTGGACCAACTTTTCATAGACACACATTTTATGGACACATGCTTTGGCGACACTGCAATGCTTCATGGACGCAAGCCCTGCGACATTTTGTCGACAACACAATTATTTTTTATTAAGTGGAATGGATTAGACTATTAGCTTAATTTCGTTCTCTGGAAGTATGCTGTAACTATAGCAAAGTCACCCAGGTGGCTCTGATAGAGCAAAAACAAATTCGCCAGCCCTGATCTTAGGCTTTCAAACAAATAGTTCCATGCACAGTCATCCTTCACTTTGCTCCACTCCACTCAGAAAAAACTAAATATAACATCAGGCCCGAACTTGCACCAAGCCTCGTCCGAACTGCCAAGGCTTCGACAAGCTTGGTGCAAACTTTGGTGCACGGTACTGACCCTTGGCACCTGGACGCCGGTGGGCAAGGCGAAGTGGACAAAAAAAAACACATTCGACAAAATGTCGCAGAGTATGTTGATGAGACAAACACAAGAGCCTTTCGATAAAACGTCACAGTGTTGACGAAACAATCTGTTGATGAAATTGCATAGTTCGACGAACTGAATGCTGCTGTAACTGTTGCCGTATGTACCTCTTTGAGTATGCGGCTGGAAAGCCCAAGTACCGCGTTGAAACTGGCTGCATCCTTCAGAGAAAACCAAAAAGAAGCCTTTACGTGCCATATATATATATATACATTCTTTTTTTTTTTTCGTATGCAACGAAAGTGCAGGTTTGCTGCGAGAGAGAAGGAATCCTACCTCGCCAAGGCACAAAGCTATCTGCCAGAGAAGAGGAAACACAATAAAAACATTGCAGATGAAGCTTACCACCATAATTAAAGGAAAGACTTTCAATCAAGCCCCAATTGTTAGGGACTCGGAGTTATGTCAAACGTTCACGTCAAGTAACCAAAGGCATGATGCTGGCTCGACATGTTAAAACATGGCACATTCGGTTTCTACAGTGTCAACAACGAAAGGATAGACGTACAGTGTGCGACACAACGATCGACGGGAACTTTATAGGAGCTTTGTGGCACAGACAATGCACAGACAATGTGGGGGAAAGTGAACGTGAGTGGCGTAAACCTACGCCGATATAGTGGAGGGGACTAAAGCAACGCCTGGGAGTTCGTTGGCAAGCTACCTACCTCTTGAGCTGTCACAGCTCCAGGTCCAAGTCGTTCAAACACACTGGGTCTCCTAGGCGCGTCGCTGCTCTCTTTTACATTTTCAACTGTTACCTTCCGTTGGACTTTACTTGACATCTACGAGTATAAAGAAATAAGAAATTATGATCACAACAAGCCGATCATCACAACAAGAGAGTCGCCGAAGGAAGACTTCTAGTAAAGTCACTCAGTCTCCTCATACTTATAAATGTAACAAAGCGGCATGTGTTCAATGGGATCGGCAGACTGCGTCCAATAATATTTTTTTTAGGCAATTTGAAGATTTGTTATTCTAAAAACTCGGGTTCGTTGACGCCGAAGAAGCCAACATTAGGCGTAGTCGCGGTGCTGGTGAGGCGGCACTCACCTTCAGCAGGTGCAATTGTTGGGCACATCACATCGTGTGCGGAACTCGGGACCCACTAAAAAAAGATTAGGTCTGCGTCAGAAATTGATAAGTTCCTGAGAGGTTCAAGAGGAGCAACACGACTCGAAGGTATCGCCGGCACATGAAGCGGGCATCATCGGGGAACGAAACGAAAGGTATCACGGGAACGTGAGCCACGCACTGCGCACGCGCAGCACGCGCGTGCGTTGTCATGGGAACGGTAACGCGCGCAGCGCAAATGATTTGTGTTCGATTAAAACTGCACGTCCTGCACCAGCTACACTCCGTACATGGGCGTACCAATCGGGGGGGGGGGGGGGGGGGGGGGCGCTTGCCCCCCCAGTTCTCAGAGTGTGTGTGTGTGTGTGGGGGGGGCAAGGGGGGCACTTGCCCCCCCCCCCCCCCCCCCGTTCTCAGGGGGCGGGGGGGGGGGGGGGGACAAGGCATGTTTTGCCACCCCCCAAAACAGGGATACCAAGGGCACCGGGAGGGGGGGGGTGTCTGGCTTGCCCCCCACTCAAAAACAAGTTGGTACGCCACTGACTCCGTACACACAGTCGTGTTCGATCTACAAGTGCAGCGGCCATCTCAAAACACTACCGAAGGTACTCTGCCCTGCACTTCCCTGCAGCGGTACCGAATGGAGCTTTTGAAAGCTTACAATGCTGTCAAAGCTACTGGCGCGCGCATGGGGTTTGATCTATTAACGAAACGTCATGCGCAGACCTTGTCTTCTAGGTGGTATTGGTTTGATCCACAGATTTGCACGCGTTCTCGTGCAAATGAGACCATAGATGAAGTGGATGAAACCACGCGGCCACGCTCTCGAGTGCAGCAGTTTTTCCCGATCCCTTGAAAGTTTTCCCACACCGCCTGGTGAATGCATAAAGGAAGGAAATTGGCTGAAAGGAGCGAGGGTAAGAACATTCAGCAAAGAGGCATTATTTTTAAGAGATTGTTCATTAGATAAAAACGCTTGAGAGCAAAGGCGGAGTTTGTGCTACTATAGTCGGCAACAGAGTTCAGGGAAAGCTCCTTACAATCCTCTCCACTCTTAAGAGCGAAAGCTGAAGAAGTCGCCTTTTCCCCAGGGTCGCTCTGCTAAAGTGCAAAGAGGTGGGAGGACCTTCCCTGAAACTCTTAACCTGTCACAGACTAGTTTGTGCTCAAGGCTGGAACACGATGCAAAGAACCATATGTACTACGAAAACTGCAAATGAAATCTTAATGGCAGCTAGGCTCTTCCCCTTTTGCGAAAATCGAAAACGATTCGAGACCTGGTGCGCTAGATATTTTTCGGACGGTTCAGCACAAGCAAATAGCGCCAAACCTTGTAAAAACAGTGAAGCATTGCAATTCTCAGTCAACTTTTTCGCATTGTCTGTTCCGGCCTAGAGTAATTATCCCAACGTTGGTTCTACTTACCGACCCACTGCTTGAACCAATGGACCTTTTCCACATACCGACGGCACCAAACGGTGGCTGCACGAACTAAAAATAGAGGAAGTGACCTACCTGCACTACCAATCGATAATGAAAGCTACGCTACCAGTTTCTTCGCTCTCCGAGCTGCGGCGCGTGCCCAACGCGACTTTAAAGAGGGGCATCCGTGGAGTCCACCCAAACGTCGTGCTTTTCTTTCCGTCCACCTTCTTTCTTTGTGCAACACAATTATATATGTGCTGCAATTATGTGTCATACTCGCTTCTCCCACAGCCTCCTTCCGAATTTCCTAGATTTTTTGTGCCGACTTCCACCGCTTGGCATCGGGTGCACCGGCAAATTCCATTCACACCGGCAAAGTGGAGAAATTACTTCGGCATGCCAGCCATGCTTCCAAAAACACAACAATCACACAAGTCAAACATTCGGAATTGAAGGTTTATTTTCGACTATCAACAATAAAAATCTACTTCCATTTGTACAGTTATCGTACAGGAGCGCAGACATTTGGTGACGTCCATCACAAAGCAGGCGGATCGCGGCTTGAAGCACGTGGGAGCGAGCTCTGCAGCATAAAAATCACCTTCAAACTTTATTAATTATTATGCAAAAAGAACAAAACAAAAAAGCGTCAATATTGTCAACATCCCCATCCCCTCCCACCCCTGTTCTTTGGTGATCCCCAGCAAGCAAGAGTAAATAAGTGTAAACGAAACAACCAAACGTGGTGGAGGAACTCCTTTTCAACTTTCGTCGATGTTTAAAAAGCCTGTGCCCGCGCCAGTCGTCCACGACAGTCCACACTGGGCCCTCTGGCGCAGCGGTGCTGCTGGGCCCCGCATAAATATCTACACCCGTTGTCGAACAGTGTCCGCGCTGTCACGAGGGCACCACACCCGGTCAGCAGTAGCACCAGCTGCCAGACTTGGGACCCCGTTCGCCCAGGCGGATACTGTCCGGCCGCAGGTTTTCCCAGAGCCCTGGCGTCTGGATGATCTGCAAGAAGAATTTCAAGGTGAGCTTGACACGGCTGGTTGACCCAGTAAGACATTTGAACGCACCTCGCTGAGAATCCATGAATTCTGAACCTATAGTTTGTTGCAACTCAGGAAGGTAGGACGAGGGTAAGACGAGGAGGAGGAAGCAGACGGAACGCTAAAGAGAGAAGGGGGTTTCCCCCTTTCTTCTTCAGCGTTCCGTCTGCTTCCTCCTCCTTGTCTTACCTGGCCCCTCGCACAACCTTCTTGAGTTGCAACGGACTATAGTGGCGATTTTCATAGCGTGCCTTTGAACCTACTTTCTTGACTTCACGTTTAAGCACGAAACACATGCGCGTCAAAACTGTCCAATCCGAAGTGCGAACTGCCGGAACAATGTTCGGAGGCGAGGGTTTTCGACGCTCTCCGGTGCTACGAAAACCCTCGCCCCCAAACGTCGTTCCGGCAGTTCGCACGTCGGATTGGACAGTTTTGACGAGAATGAGTTTCGCGTTTAGACTGCCAGGCGTAGCGAATATGCGATTTTCTCGGGAAAGCTGGTGAACGAACCTGCCGCTACAGCTTTCTTCTAGCCGCCAGGCGACGGGGATTTTGCAGAAACCGCCAATAAGAGAGCTCCAGCTTGGGTCAGAGTTACTAATGTCTCAAAAAGCCCACTGACTGAACAAGTGGCATGCGCGAGGAATTCACTAGGGCAACATTAGACTCCTTCGATTTACCTGTACCTCCTGCACCGGCGCAGAAAAGTGTAGGGCAGTGTATTTCCGGTTGTATCTTAACAAGCATACCAAAAGCACACTGCCCTAAACTTTTTTGCACCGGTGCGGGCAAATCAAATGAAAATACCGTCATATAGGAATAGGGCACTAATCTGTTATATTGCAGGGGTGGAACTCATGAAATGTATTTGGGAGCAGCCACGGGAGCAGCTGAAACCGCTGTTTTGGAGCAGGTTGGGAGCAGCTAAAACTACATTCTGGAGCAGGCTAGGAGCAGCTCAGATCAGTTTTCACTGCACTTCAGCTTGTGTCTTAGACGAGCACGGGAGCAATTTCAATTGTGCTTAGCAGCACAGATGAACATGAGTGGTTAGGGACCTAGGTAATGGGATAACAGTGTAACAGATGCCAAAACTTGAAACTTTGTAAGCCTTAATGAGAATCAAAAAGCAAGTACCATATGTTTCTGAAGATGGTGTCCTTTATATTTTCTGAGTGGCTTTCAGCTGCTCAAAATGAAAATCAGCACTGCTTATCGCACAACCCACACGTGCTCGACAGAGTAATTATATGTGCGAACCACGTGACGTGCGCAAGCAACGGACGTGCAGTTGCGTGGAGGAACAGGGCAACAAATTTCGAGTTTATCCTATTGTGCAACTCAATATCGAAGCAGCAGACTACAATTAACGGAGTTATCGTATTCAAAGCGATAAGCAGGAGCAAGGTTAATGTACGGCGAGCAGATCTACCGCTCGCGTGACAGCAGCTGGCAGGCAAGGTTTCGGATCGGACCGCGTTTCAGTTCTATCAAATCGCAATTATCTTGCGGGAATGCGGTTTCAACTTCTAACGATGAGGTACTAAAAGGAGCATTTCGCTCATTTGTTTTCAATTGGCTGACGTCCGGATCCCGGGCTGCAGAGCCTCAGGCAATCTGACGCTTAACGGCTCGAACTCACCTCGGCCGACTTGCTTAACAGCTTATGGTTGAAGAATAACAGTCCAGTCGCAGGTGTAGCGATTCGAATCCGATCCCCGAGTTTTTTCGCGCGCTTCCGACTCGGGATACACAGGGAGAATAAACAGAACAAAGGATTGCAAGGCCGACCAAGCTAAACGGGCTAATTGTTGCCAATCGAGTCGATAGGAAACGAAACCAAGACAAAATACTTTTTTGTTTTTGGCGCACGTTGTGCGATTTGGTGCATAATGGCGCAAGGTATTGGCTGTGGCGCAGTTTCCGTGAAATGGCGCAGGATGGCGCAGACAAATGCGTCTGGCGCAAAATGGCGCAAATGGCGCAGCCGTTCCACCCCTGTATTGGTTTTTGCCTGGTTGCCTAACGAAAAGAAAAGCTTTGCCAGAGTACCTCCAACACTCATCTGAAGCCTCCGATTGTATTTGAGAACCACACTCTCTGCCCAGAGTGTCTGCAATGCTCCATATAGAAAAAGGCTGCACGCAGGAGCCTCTAAAGAGCAAACAAACATTGTGCAACGTGAACGGAGAAATCACTGTCATCTGACAAAGGTGGGCAATGGGGAAGAAAAGACTGTCGATACGAGTAACGTCTTCCAGTCACAAGTGTGGCTCTGTTTGTTCACTTCTTCCACTTGCCCATTGTCTACAGTCGGCGACAGGCTTAGAGTTTAGGGAAAGCTCCTCCCGCTTTTTTCCCTTTACCAAAGTAAACGCTGGAGACAAGGTGACTTGCTCTCCAGCATTGCTCTGCTAAAGTGCAGAGGCGGGAGGAGCTTTCCCTGAACTCTTAAAGAGGTCCTCTAATGACTTTTGGACGGGTTTGCAATTTGCGTCCAGACGGAGCTCATCGAACGTAGGAACACGAAGGAAAAACTTCTTTTCTAGAAACACGGTTTTATCTTGGGAGTTATAAGCAAATGAAGGTTACAAAAACAAGCAAGACATTTTAGCTCCGCGACGTATTATGGACAATTTACTGATTGGAGGGTTGGAGCAAAGCGGCTGGCCATTTGGCCGCGGGTTGGGTTCATGGCTGCCGCTCTGAAGACAGGCACGCGTCGTCGCCATAGCGATTATATCCCCTTGCATCGTCCTAGATTCAAGCTCCAAACGCGATCATGCCAGCGTTGTCCGCACTATGCCGCGTCCCGCCACGCTGAGAAGAGCCCGACCAAACCGAGTACAGCGCGGTCTAGCACACTCTGCTCCATATTTTTCCTGCTTTCACCGATCGGTATCGATGCGATCGGTGTAAAGGAAGCGATGATTCAGGTCAGTAGTTAGTTGCACCGTGATAGGTTAAAAAAAGAAGCAAATGATAGGGATAACGAGTTCAAATTTATTTTCTCCCAAATGTCGCACAAATGTAGGCGGGAAAAGATCATAATACCGCGCCCGTCGAAGTCCCTTGGCACGAATCCGCTAGCCGCCTTTTGTTGGGACGAATCGACACTTGGTATTTGTCGTTTTGAGCGGGAACAGCTGCTGGCGCTTATGACTAGCACATGATCGTTCCTAGCTTATTTGTGAGATCGTCCTGAATTCTAAGTAACTGTACCTTTGGCACGTCATCCAGAGGAATGACAGCCATGAACGCACCTTCTCGACGAGCTCCTCGAAGGCACACTGGACCCCGTCCTTGGTCTTGGCACTGGCTTCAATGAAGAGCATGGAATGCTTCCGGGCATAGTTCATGCCCTGCTCCTTGGACACCACCCTGCTCTCGTGCTGCAAGGTTGGGCACAATGTCAGCAACACAACACAACCTGCAAATTCGTCTGCTTCTTGGGTGCTTTGCATGTTTGTCGTGCCCACAAGCCTGTGTTTTTCCCCCCAACACACACCAGGGACGGCGTGTCTTTGGCGGCTTCGTCACTGTGCATTCTCTCATATTGCAACTTGGTCAGTGTGCCCATCCTCACGTTCCAGTGCGTCAAAAAGGCATTTCTGAACACTTGCTCCCCGTATGGTCAGGCATCGAGCTAAAGTTCAGGCAGCTCGATACGGGCAATACTAGAACATTCACAACTACATTACAATAGAGCTAACACTTCAGCACCAATATGACAATAGCCTAGGAACTGTAGGGAAAAATGGGCCAAAATTGCTGCTGCCGCCACGCTGATTCTTGAAGAAATGCGTTAGCGTTTTGTGCAGCGGCTCTATATAATAAAGCATGGTGAATGCAGCCTCGCAGCACTTTTCTGCAAAACGTTCCCAAAACCCAACGAGGTAGAGGGCCTTAGAGCGATAAACTGGCAGCTGAAAGTAACCCCCAATTGGCCGCAGCCATATTGCAGATTTTTGACCACTAGACACGTGACCTTATAGTTTTACGCCTAGATTTTAATGAAGTACTGAGCACAAATAATTGCTTGTTGATCTTTAATAACTGTACCAATAAGATAAGATAAGTTATGTTTCGCTTGTTTTTAGTCCAAAATGTGCTTTTACGACAAAAATTCGGGCAGCTTCGCAATGCCTTCGCTAGATGCCGTCAGCCGCGGGGCTGTATTTTGGGTTATTATCGAAGCTAGACAGTGATCTCTGGGGCAAACATTACTGAAAAAAATAGTTTATCATGCCTTTTACAGCGATCACAATACAAATCTCGGCTCAGTTTTGCATAAAAGTTTCAGGATCTGGTACGGACATGTGTCTAGTGGTCAAAATTGTACAACATGGTGGCAGCCAAGTGGGGGTCACTTTTGCCCGGTGAACAGGATACCAGTTTATCGCTTTAAGCCCATCTTATCGCTAGTGCAAGCAGATCAGGTCAATTAGCACACACACAAATTGATAGGTATGCAGTTACTTTATAACATTAACCCCGATTCCTTGACTAGCACTAAAAATAAACACCAAAAAACACAAATTAGAAAAAAAGCTTAGGAAAATTACTTTTTTAATTTGAAGAAAAATAAACTCCCAAAAACACGGAACCATGACCCATACCGCACCTGACAAAAGCAGCACCTGTGGATTCTGATGTAGATGTTTCTGATGTTTCTACATCATGATCAACATCCACCAGATCGCCTGCACACTCACAGTTTTTACCTGTGGATTGTTGCTTCAGAAAAAAAGAAGAATTGAGAACCCTGCAGCAGCTGTTCTCTTATTGGTTCCACATAGTGCAACAATAAAAGTGGGGCAACAGGTGCTCACTCTGTCAATCTTGTTTCCCACTAACATCTTGACCACATTGGACCGGGTGCAGTATGTCTCCAGCTCCGCAAGCCAGTGGTCCAGCTTCAGAAACGTGTTGTGGTTGGAGACGTCGTACACTGCACATTGCAAACGGGATTCAAACAGGTTTTCAAGACAAAAGTTTAAGGGCTTTCAAGGTCTTCCAGGGCACTGTTAAGATATTTTCAAGGACACAATACTATCTTACATCTTGCAGTTTTAGAACCGAGCAGCATTTTCGACATGTTGCAAATGAAACATATCAAACGTGCAACGCCTTATTACAGATGCCACTTCAACTTTTTCTACTCGTGATATCAAATCTCTTTCTCAATGAAGCATCTTTCGGCTGCCCAACCTTCAGAGTGCCACTTCTTCTGGGCTTCCAAGTATGTATCTCTACAGCTGGGGTGGAGATCAACTTTTTTTGGTGACTAGAAAGTACAGTTTATCACCCACCTTTTCTGCCCGGTTTGAATTTGTTGAATCCGGCACAACCCACTGTCTACAATCGTTGTTCAGCCAGAATTGCTGAAAATTATACTTCCTGCGTATTATACGCCTTTTCACACAATTTGAAACTCATCAACGTGCACCACAAGTGTGTAAAAAAAAAAAGACAAAACAAGGCAGTAGAGCTGGAAATGCTCCCAATATCCAGGCATCTACAGAAGATGCCACTAAATATATTCCAATTGGGACACTAAATAATTTCTCCTTGTTGAAAATTTACAATCAAAACCTGTAATACATATACAACAAAAAATGTCTGACTGAAGCTCATTATTTCAATCTGCCACTTCATTTAACTAATTACACAATCCAAAAGTATTTAAGGACTACCAAAAAGATACTGGGGTATCTTTTTGGTAGTCCTTTGGTAGTAGCAGTATTTTAAAATTCAAGGATTTTCAGTCCTGTAGGAACTCTGTCGGTGGCCAACACAGGGGCGTTCAGAAAAGCTGTATATGCTATTCGCGACTCCAGCGACCTATAGGGGGCACCACAACCAAACAAACATGGCTGCTGAGTCCAGGTCGCGTCGGCTCGGCCGGGCCGCCTGAACAGGTGGCGCGTTCAATTTAACAGATTTTCTTTTGTTTAATGAACAATTTTATAGGTATTTGAACTGAGACTGTTCAGTGTAGCCGGTGCACATAAACTTGCAGAACATAGTTTTGTTTTCCAAGTGTGTTTTTTTGTTCTTTTCATGTCTAACTTTCGTTTCGGAGATTTCGTTCGAAACCGAAACTATGGGCTGTGGAGAGACGGTGATATACTAATCAGTTTTGCTCATCTAAGGAAAGCGGCAATGACTGCAGAATTCTCCCACCGGCAGTAATTTTCAGCCAACTAGCATGCCTCGACCATGCGACTTATCTGTCCGCGAAATCGGGCTTTTGTGCGTATCCGCGTTTAAGAAACAGCCTCAGTCGTCTGCTCGGTCAACAACACAGGCTGCAGGAAAATTACGAAAATTAAGCTGGTGCTTCTTAAGCCAAGGACCATGTTAACCCGCCGGCGCCCCACTAAGCAGCTGATACTCGTATTTCAATTCAGGTTTTAGTAGCAATCGAGAAGTCATTTTGACGAGCGGGTTATGTATTATATTACGTACTACGTCCCACTAAAGCGATATTAGTATATTCTTCGGTTTGAAATATGACCTTAGTTAATTAGCTATGAGGTGAACTGCTGAATAAAAGTATACTTGACAGAGAGAGAGATACTAAGTTAAACTTAACCAAATGGTTCTAGCCGGTAGCATGGAGACGAATGCGGACAAACTGAAGAGAGTCTTCATTGGAGATTCACGCAGAACCTCCCTGCACTGAACTTGACTTTGAATCCTGAACGGAAAAAATTAGTATTTTTGTGGCCGGTCAACCTGAGCAATGTAGACGTATATTGCTGTTGGCTTAATTCGACGGGGGTATAATACAAATATTGGAGGCGCGATAGATCATAATGCCGTGACAGCTTCTAACGTTGCGAGACTCGTCCCCCACCTTTTAAAAACAGATAATTTCCTTCATTCTTCATTTGCAGCGAGCAGGCTTTCCTGAATCAAATAATTGCGAAATCAGCCCAAATCGTTCAGAGTGGTCCAGAAGATTTTTCGGCAAAAAGCAGCCAAGATGAATAGCCAACGCACCGACCGCCGTGGGTGGCTCAAACTTGAAGCTAACCGAACACAACCAAACTCAAGAAAAGCAGCTATCGAACCTTCCCATTCACTTGACTGCAGCATTGGTGTTCCCTCCAGTGAAATGCCTCGTCTGTCATCCTCCCACTGTTCTACATCCTTATAAAGAAACCCCTTATCAGTTACCAAGCAGTCGTCACTTTGAATGTGATTCAAACAGACAAGAAATCAAAACGTTTTTCCGTGATTCCTTCCCATCCAAGAAATCGAAAACACGTGGTGGAAGGAAACAATCTACTGAGGCTTCGCCACACTAATGAACACTCAGGAAAACTTAAGAAATTTTCGGACCTTCGTGAAATTACACTGTTCGCCATTGCGTCGACAACACGTGTCCGCGAAAGCCACCAGAGACGCGGAGGGGCGCGGAGCGACCTGGACCGGCTGGTTCCCGGTTTTCCCGCTTGGTGGTGTCCGTTTTGCTGGAGTCGCGAATACATTGCTTGGATTTCAACATGAAAAGATGGCTTTCATCACAGAGGTCACTCATCCTTACATCTCACACTTCTGCCTTTATCAGAAGCCCAGAGAGTTCCAGTAATTCTATCTAATCAGACAAGAAAGTAAGTACACTAGCAGATATGATTCCAAACTCCTTAGAGGCATCTCTAAGGGGCCTGATATGAGCAGCCACATAGATAGGCCATTCAGCACCCAGAATTCTCGGGTCCCCCCCCCCCCCTCCCCCCCTTCCCTTTCCCTCCCCGAGATCGCAAGGAGTAAAGCAGGCTGGGAGGAGGAGGGTGGGGGGGGAATGCCGCCAGAGGTGGCACTCCCCCACGTGACTGGGATGCCTCGGGATGCCCCCCCCCCCCCCCGGCCCTTCCCCATTACTCTACCACTGGATAACAGCCTGGTATTAAGACAAAAGGAACGCACAGTAAAAAATATTTCAACACAACTAAACTTCAGAAAATATTTTTAAAAAAGCTGCAAACATTAGTATTTGTAAAAGCAGATATTTTGATGCAAATCAGTTGCCATCTGATAGCGTAAACAGAATATAGTTCACTAATGAATTGATAGGTTGACAGATACAACTAAACCCCCTGAATCGGGCAGCAGCTTGCGACACCTATACTCCATTTCACCTTACGACGGGCTACAGAGATGCTACCAGCCATCCCAGTATTGCAAATGCATCATGTGACTAGGCGATTGGCATTGGAAGTTCATGTGATTGGCATTGGATTGGCTTCCATAGCCCAAAATGTCCTCTGCGGTCCATCGTAAGGTGAAACAGGGTATAGCCAATGTCTTAAACTTCCACGGCTCATGTATACTACCCTGACGCACCTGGAAAAGTACCGAGCATCGCATGCCGAGAAAAGCTATCAGCCCGTTCAAATCAGATGCACCATACGTGAACTGCAGAGAGTGGAAGGTAAAAATAAGTTGAACACAACTACAAACTCACCCAAGATGGCTCCCTGAGCTCCTCTATAATAGCTTGGCGTCAATGTGCGAAACCTTTCCGAACCAGCGGTGTCCTGTTGAAGAAATACAACAGAAGGAATGCTGCATCAGTGCTTTGTTCCAACGACGAAACTATGGTCGGTGACAGGTTAAAAGATCAGGGGTAGCAGAGCAAACGCTAGAGAGGAGTTGACCTCCCCCCAGCGTTCGCTCTGCTAAAGTAGGAGAAGGTTCACCTGATCTCTTAACCTGTTACCGACTACAAGGTGTCGCGTCGTGAAGGGTGTACACACCCATATGGCCAGCTTTGCTTTGTTCCCATCAACAGTTACTGTTTTCACCTTGAAGTCTACCCCTGCAAGAAATAAGAGAGATGTGAACAATATGACACTTATGACAGGTAACGACCTGTAACGAATCCTCCGCTAATAAGGGTGGCCCAATAAACTGCAAAGATACCAACCTATTGTGGCTGCTAAGCTGGGGTCGAAAACGTCGTCTGTGAATCGTAGTAATAAACTGGAACAAAGATGAGTGAGCGTATGTTACTTGGTAGAAATACGGAAGACACAAGGGGGGAGGAGTCTATAAAACTCGAGACTGTAGGAAAAACAAAATTGAAACGTACAACACACGCGAATTGTCTCTCGGGTTTTAGCAATGTTCAACGCTACACGATGTTGATGCAAGCTAGACCTCTTTTCATGTTGTGAAACACAGGGCACGTTTTTAAGACGCTGGGACAGTCTTACACGGGGCCAGTCAGCTAAATGCGGAGGACGAGGTTTTGGTTCAAGCTGCGGAGATTGTGTAAATTAGCATGAATTACGCAGAACACGAAACCCGTCGTCAACAGAGGGGCTAGTGAATTACGCAAGCGCGAGCGAACTGGACTAGCTGAGGGATCTTTTAAAGCTACGCTATCGTACTTCGGAGCGAAGAAAAGCAGCTGTGGAGTGACGACTGTCTCTTTTAGGCTTACCGTATGAGACGGTTCGGAGCGAATCAAAGGTTCAAACACTGGCGTGAGCCTCGCGATAGATTCCACCTTACCTCGATTTGCCAACGTTGCTTTCACCGATGATGAGGATTTTGAGCGTTGTGAGGACACCGTCGTCATCCATAGCGGCACGGCAAGGCGCTTCTGCCGAAAATTTTGGCACCCCCCAGCAGTAGATGTGCGGAACGATGTAAACAGACGGCGCATGCAGTGCACGGGTAGCTGGGTAGGTGATCAGATGATCCGATGACTCAGGACTCTTTACACGCTTCTTTACACACTCTACAACTCCCAGCTATCCTTACAACTCTAAGCGACTGAATTCTGCTGTGTGACGTAATAATTTATGCTCCTTGACTGCGACTGCGCTGTTGACTTTAACCTAGATCACGTGGCTGTCTGTCTAGCGTTAGAGTAGCCGGTGTTACCCAGTGTGACGTTGCTAGAGTCGAAAGTTGTTGTCCTAGGGGTTGAATCAGTTGAATGTCACGGGGTGGGGGGATTTGTGGGATCTGTTTCCGCCGAGGAAGCTCGTGTCGCAAAATTATGCCAAGAGGAGAACAAGACGTGCCTTTCCTGTGATGCAAGAGAACTAAAAGTTTTAGCATTCATTCAACGAGGTGCATTGATTAGGTAAGGCACTACATTTAAGTTGTTCGAAAGCTACCGAACGATGTTGCTTGTTGTGTCGACATATTCTCTTCAACTTCCGTTAGCACCCGATGGTTTCTCGCGCACAGAATTTAGCAAACAAAATAAACGTAGGCGTGTGAGTAACTATAACACTCGAATACTTCAGCAGGTGTTTCCTCAACTTCAAGAGGACTCGACAAAGTAGGTGCGTACACGCTTCTGCAGTGTGCTTCTTTCCTGCAGTGCACTCGTGCGAGAAGGGAAAGTGCTCTTTCCAAAAGTGGCGCCAGCAATTTCTAACGTAAAAAGAAATTAATTTCTGTCCAAAAGGTATTTAACCTTGTCATCGGACGGCACCATGACCTGAGAATCGAATATTAGGAAGTAGGAAGAGTGCCGAATTTCGCGTAAACTCTACAGGCACAGTGAGCAATAATCAACGACGCAAGATTGTGATGAGAAATTTTGATCTTTTTAACTGTGAGAACTGCTCCTTGACTGACTTTACACACCAGCTGAGTTAACTTTAAACTGTATTTTTCGGTGTTTTCTGCAGAGCAAAAGATAATAGCTGGGCTAGAAGCAATTGTAGGAAGAAAAAAAAAAAAAAAAGAAACCAGGAGAAATAAATGATACTAACGAATTAATTTTCTTTGTTTTTATTCCATTTATCATGACATGCTAGACACAGGCGTTCACCGCGATACGACGGGGACCAACTTTACAGGACACGATGTGTAAATAAAATCTGAAATAACAGAAAACTGAAGGCAGAAGTCTCTTAATTTTGCTAAACAGGTTAACGTACACTCCAGAAGAGAGAAATTTTATTTTCTTTATCAATATCTCTGTTCAAGTTCTGGAGAATAGCACATGCTTTGCAATTGTCCAGGTAAAAAAAAAAGAGTTATAATAAGTCAGCTAACAATGGGAAGTAGGCCTCTTGAGAATAATGAACTATAACATGGTGTAGAAAATTCCTGCATGACAAAGGCCAAAAACATTGCACACAATAAAATTCAGTGCACTGAAGAGACAATTAATACTGTTATGGTCCCTCTAAGCACAAACAATCTGGGATTGATCAGACACATGGTTGATATATACTAAAATAATCACAATCTAAAAATACAAGAAAAAAACCTAATACGTGTCATTGCTTCGGTCAGGCAATAAATGCTTTCAGAATCACATCACAACAGCAAAACAGTGAAAATGGCTTAGTCTGTATGCTAGTTACTACACACCTCCCCAATTGGCACACCTATGATTGATACAACGGCGATTGTGTGTGTAACATTCAACCTTGTTGAACATTAAAAAAATGTCAAGACACAAACTTGCTAACAGCTGGAAAACAAACATATACGACACAGTCTGTTATTTAGCATTTGTGCCACTTCCGTTACATGGGTAGCTTCTCCTCTATAAATGTAACATCTCAAGTCCATTCCAAGAACACTTATAGCAGCATTCTTATTAGCGAGCGCTGTCAACAACAGAGTATACATGGGTGAAAAACCTCACCATATGATAACAGGACGTTCTCTTCACACCGGTTTTAACATAGGTAGGGTACGTCGTGCCAGCCTATGGAGACAAAAAAATATTTGGAACAAATATTCCTCATATTCTTTGGACATGTTTAAAACTAAACAGTAAAACTGACCATCGTAAAATATCCAACATTTAGTGGGCCACCTCAAAGCGTGCAGCAATTACGATGAGGAGGGCTGATATCAATTAAGTCAAAACACATTTATATATACTTTATACCCTCCTCCACCAAACATTTTTTATGCTTATGAAAAACACAATGTGGAAACTGGCACCGGCTTGGATGTACACTCAGTATTTGACAATACATTAAAAACAAATACGTCATCCTCCTGTGTATAGTAAATATGGCTGGCTCTAACAAAAAAAAAAAGAAAAGACATAAGCATACAATCTAGGAATCTCTCTTTGGCTCGACTTCTGCAGAATATCATCCATAAACGTATATCGTCTCATACGAGGCTGCTGGAAGACATGTCTGTCTGTAACAACATGAATCGAAAAGAAAAGATACACACACATAACAAAGGCTAATAACATTTCACATCATCACTGCAGTACCTTGAAGAATGCATCCCCGACTCGTGCTGCTGCACTTCCCAATCAACCAAAGCGGTCCTGAACAGGCAGCAAAGTGTCACTAAATGTAGTGTCTCGTGGTGTCGGTTGTCGTGATCCTGGCAGTCGGAAAGACGGGACAGAAGGGTCGCTGTCAATGCAACGTCCCAGCCCACGGTTACCTTGGCCTCGGTCGACCGGCTGGCTACGAAGTGAGCTACGGCAGGAAAGTAGCCTACCATACCCAGCTCTGCTGCTGTACCACTGCCAAGATTGCCGTCAGCAACAGCACGAGCCAGCTGCGACGTCAGCAGGCGGAAGTTGAGGGGCCAAAAATGAAGACGCAGTAAATGCACCAGTCGGAGATGCGCTCCAGGCACTGTCGCCGCAGATATATAGGCCGTTTTTTTTTTTTCCAGCTTTACAGATTTGTTTAAAAAAGCCACGAAAGCTACACTTACGCGGTTTGTGCAGGTGATGTTATACGGCCACGGGGACGCGGTGCAGGGGAAATAATTAACTTTTTAATGAGTGAAAATAGACATATGGTTCCAGTTAGAAACTTGTTGAGCGTCATTGAAAACCACAATCAACTCTTTTTAGAAGGATACAATGCCGAGGCAGCAAGTTTTTAATTGGAACCATATGTCTATTTTCACTCACTAAAAATTGACGAATTTTACTTAATTAGCCGACCGATTGTTACGGTTAGCCCTTTATACTATATGTCCCTCGGGCCATATATACAACCTGCACAAACTGCATAAATGTAGCTTTCACAGCATTATTTAAACAAATCGGTAAAGCTTAAAAAAAAAAAAAAAAAAACTCTAGGTCAACAAATGGCATACTTTTGTACACTTTGGCTTACATAGATCAGTAACAGCGCAGCTTGAAAAAAAATATTGACGTCGAACATTGATCACAGGAAATAGTTGTATTAGAAATATAGGAATTCAGGTGAGGGAACGTTCTGGAAAATTGATAAAAACAAAGAGACTAAAAGCTACATACTAGTAGAATGTTTGATTGAGGTGGAACCAAAATCAATGACACCCAGTGCAATCTGATTTTAACATTCTATCAGTACTTCTTTTAAGTGAGCAAGCAATTAGTTGTTATTAGTGGATTAGGCTGTAGCTAATCTTGGTGCGTGAACACGAAAGTTGATGACTTTGTACTCAGAATTCTCTAAAAATCAGGGGTGCTGTAAGGGCTCCCTGATGGAAAACACAATAAACTATGTTCTCTTTCCTACTAAAAACCGGTACAACCTAAAACAGTACCGCCTATGTGTTGCATGCCATAAGGTAGGTCACCTTCGTCAGAAAGAGGCGAGATGAAATATACAAAAATATATACCAGACTGTCTCGATTAAATGGTGAGAGTTGTGCGTTAAGTCTGTTGTATGTGAAAGTGCTGGGCGGACAGAGCACACCAGAAAACTGATCAGGATAGTATATGTAATCTAAAAGATGGGGTGCAGTCTAGAAAATGAAAGCAATGCTATAGTATACCACCTGGATAGTGCATCTTTCAGAATACAAGTTTTCTTTTGCATGTGCATGATTATGTAAGCTCATTTAACCAAAACTAGGTCTTAGAACAATGCAGCTGAAATGCAGTTTGCTTTTGCTTTAACTTGCGCTTTGCTTTTTTTCCTCTTTCTTCCGTCTTCATTTTTACACCTACTTTTTTCTTTAGGCAATTACTGCATATTTTGGCTTTTGATTAAACACATTTTTCTGGAGACACATATTCTGTTAAAAGTTTTTGTGAAATCAACCAACACTGGTCTAGATTACTACGACGGTATAACAAGGGTGCTATCAGAAACTTCACGTGAAAAACTGCACCATCAAACTGCAACAAGTTGCAACAATCCCAGAGCTAGAGACCGTTTTCGACATGCCTGGAAACAAACGACCCGTGTAAACTAAAACAATGACTACTAAAATGATGACCTCCATGACCTCAGAGCTCAGTTCAGCTGTACCACATTCAGCACTCTACGGAAGCTCGCAGCCCTGCAAGGACTCTGGGTGGGTGTACTTCGGAAAGAAGGATCTCGTTCTAGCAGTTTCCTGACATGATCCAGATAATCTCACGCTGGTAGACCAGTCAGTCTTGGCTACAGCAGTGCGAGAATTTAACCAGTGGTGCAGGAACTAAGCCAAGTCCGACAATGCCGCAACGGCAAGCGTGCGCAAGATGTCGTCGACCGCGGCCGCGTGAACGGGGTTGAGGCACGCAAACAGGCAGCCGCTGTTGCGCCACTTTGCGCTGGGGCCGAGTCTTTCTAGGACTCCGTCCGGCTGCGCGTAGTTGAGAGCCCCCACTTCCGGCATGCTGCTCAGGGCCGTGACGGACAGCGAGATGTCCCTGAAACGGTGCAGGGGAATGTCCCTGGCAGCCAAGAGAGCGTGAGGGGCGCACGTGTCCCAGCGAAACGTTGTCCCCTTGCTCAGCAGGTACACGTCGACGCGCTGCAGGACGACGCAGAGCAGCTTGTAACCTGCGCCAGCTGCAAACTTAACCTGGAAGAGTAATAATTATTTTTTGCAGCCTTCTTTCCCGCACACGTCACGAATGAGCTTTCGTTTTAAAGACAGCTGTTTTAGAGCGAAGCTCTTAGGCGCCCGTTTCCGGGTTCAGCGGCGTCGCCGTCGCTGTTGGCTTAATTGCGCGTTGCATTATGGGACATTTTCCATAATGGCGTCACAAGGATAAAATTTTCCCGCTGAATTTGGCAGGAAATTTTTCCGCTAAATTTAGCAGAGTCTTGCTAAATTTAGGGAGGGGGGAGAATTTCCCCGCTAAATTTATCAGAGAAATTTCCCGCCAAATTTAGCAGGAAAAGTTTACCTTTGTGACGTCACGTGATGTCACACGTGATGCAGCTCAACCCGGAAAAATTTCCCTCACTAAATTTAGCGAAAAAATTTCCCGCCAAACGTAGCAGGAAAATTTTACCCTCACGACTTGGCGTCACGTGAAATTTAACGGAAAAACTTTTCCGCTAAATTTAGTGGAAAACTTTCCCCACTAAACTTAGCAGGGAAATTGACGTCTCGTGACCTCAACACCAATTCAGTTTCCTTGCTAAGTTTAGAGGGGAAATCTTCGCTAAATTTTCCGCTAAATTTAGCAGAAAAATGTTGGTAAATTTTCCGCTAAATAGGAGGGGAGCAGGAAAGGAGGCGGGGAGGGGGAGGAGGGCCATACCCTCCCCTCCTCCTCCTACTCAAGAACTCCGCTCTAATTCGGCATTACAGAGAATTTTAAATGTCTAATTTTTTTAATTGTACCCCACCGTAGAATACCGCGCATCCACCCATTCCACATTAAGCGCCCATTACCAAATTCGTGAGATCTGAGAAAATGTGCACAGTACATTTATATGTAAAATTGATGATCGGACAAGTGCCCACCCCCATTTTTTTGCAATTATCACCAAAGTTTGAGTGGGCGCTTGCCCGGTATTTTACGGTAATTCACCAACACCTTAAGATCATGAAGTTTTATTGCAAAGGGCTACTATATGTGAAGGTTTCTGTTTTTTGAGACTTGAATAAAAAGCGGTCCTACACACCCTCTTCAAAGTTACAAAAAATATAGAGGGAATTCAGTGCTCTATCCGCATATGCAGCTGCGATTGCAACCTCCGATTTTAGGACAGTACTGCTGCCAACAAAATATTTATTGAAAGGACATTTACACAAAGTATCTGGGCTTTATGACCATATAACTTGCGGCATCCCAATGCCATGTACCACATATACATTTAGCACACTATTACTACATGAGTACCTAACTGCTGTCAGACACCCTTCCATCTCCCACTGCCCAACTTTGCCCGACACACACACATCCGGCATTTTCGGGTTGACATTTCTCATAAACTTGGCTCTTGCAAGTGCAAATGTCAAACAAAACAAAAACCATCGGTAGAATTTAATGATACAGTACCCAACACAATGACAAAGTAACAACCTGTGCCTGTTGAATGCCACTATGCCTAACTGGTGTACTCTATTTTGCTGCACATTGTCAGGGCTGGCATAGCTTCTGCAGTGCTCGAACGTATTGTCAAAGCTAAATTGTGCAAGAGCACATTTCTTCGCTAGGCGTTCCCTTCGCACGAGAGCCTGTGCAAATGAGACGGAGGTGCTGAAACTTGACAATGTGGCACAAAATGTATTTGACGTTGACTGTATAAAACGCTGCCGCCACCGCACCTCGAAGCCCTTGTTCTGCAGCATCTCGATGACCGCCTCGCTCTCTCCGACGCTCAGCAGCACGATGGGGCGGTGCCTCTGGCTGGCCGCTTTGTCTTCGTCGCGGGTGATGCTACGACTCATGACCGGACTTGGAACGCTGGCTACTGCCCAGTAACACCTCCCCACAGGCCTGTATGGGAGACAACGGAAGGGTGCTTGGGCATCACTTCGTGCTCTTCTGCACTGTGCAGCAGGTATCTAACCCGTGGAAAGCATGCCAGATATGTGGAAGAGAATAAGGGATTGTTCGAGAGACTCATTCTTTCGGCAAACAGCACGGGAATGAAACAAACTTCCAGCACAAACTGTGGCTGTTGATCGTCGGGTAGAATTCGCTTCTCTTAATTGTCTCAGTGGCACCTGAAGTGGTACCTGAAGTTGTCAATTGCTGTAGTTTTATTTTCGATTGAAATGTACCACAATAATTGTATTGACGTGTGTATTTTGTGCGTTTCCTCGTGTTGTGTAACTTCAACCCGTATCTTGGTACCGTGTAGCAGGACTGATGCTATTTCAAACAAATAAATAATGGCTTCTTGGCACTAGAAGCACTCTACGTGCTTCTAGTGGCTTCTTTTTCAACGGATGCTCCTCCCTGCCGTCCTCACCTCATCGGTGACTACGGCTTAACCCTCCTACCAATGATTTTTTGTTTCTCTCAAAAAATGTTTCGCAGTGGTCAGCTTTTGTTACCAAAGGAATATAGTATAAAGAAATAATGCACGGGATTTTTTTTATAATTATCTAGCAGAAGCACATAGCGTGCCTGCAAGCTGTTTAGGTACAGACGCATCAGATATGAAAACATGAAGGCGAAAAGTTGTCGCCTTTCTTCCATTCAGTTTCATTCTGGCGCAGCCACTTCCGCGGTGTTCCAGCAGCCTCAGATACCCAACCAGACGTAAACCTTAGGCAGCTTCTCCGTCGGACGACGAGCTCATTTTTCGAATTTAATTGTGAGAGGCGCCGGAAGTCCGAATTGGAAGAGCCAGTGCTCCGATTGGCACTACCGCCAGAGTGGCCGGTATGCAAAGTGAGCACCACGTGCGCGGAGCGTTCAGTTTGAAAACTATAAAAAGCTCAGCAAAGTGAAACATAGTGCGAATATTACGCTAATGGTTCACCAAAGACGTAGCAAATCACCACGCCTCCCGTGGCTCGTGCGGTTTCGCGTTTAGGCGGGCACTTTCAAATGCGTAATCCCTACCTTTTGTGTATGGCAACAATCGTCCAAGGGTTACGTAATCGTAGCCAGACGCCAGCAAAAACACGCGGAGGAGCGCACGCAGAACACTTCGAGGGGAAGGAGAGAGGAAAAAAAGGAGGCAGTGCCGGACCTGCCCCGGTGGTCCAGGTGGTGAAAGGGCTGGTTGACCACGCCCACGACAGGAGCCCCCTCGGCCAGGGTGTGGACGCCGATGAGCACGCACACGCACTGCAGCCCGGAAGGCACCAGGCCGCTCCCGTCCTCCTCGCCCCAGTGACCCCCGATGTACTCCGACGTGGAGTCTGCAGACTCGAACAATGTGAAACCAATTTCGTCTGCTCCCGCCACAGTTTGTTTTACCTCACGTGCGAGCGAAGTCGAAACTATGAGCGTGCTGTCGCGCAAATGCTGCTGCGCGAACGTCTGTGCTCAGCAGAAATGTTGTTGAAAGCTCAGATTTCGCTCTTACTTCTGCTACTCACGAATTTCAAGTGTTACAAAGTATAGTCTCTATATTAGTGGGGGCTGCACCGGCGTCCATTTGTGCGATACCTGTTGCTCGATGCTGGTCTGAGACTCCGGGTTTGCGGTCACCGACCCGGTAGAGGGGCGCTGGCCACACTGCCTTTGTACTGGGGACAGACGAGTCACCAGAAATTAGGGCAAGATAACTTCGTGCCATCCGAAGGCTCCAATTTGCTACGCCGTAACACGCGCTACTTTTGAAAACAAAATTTGTAGTATGGAGGCTTAGACGGCGAGAAGCTAGTCTGCCTCGAATTGCGTCGGGTACTTGACCTGTAGGTAGGCAATTTAGCCAGTGCGGTACGTCTGCTAACCTGGGCCATCTACATATCTATTGTGCAGCAGTGATTATAATATGTGTAAACCAATATGATCCTCGCCCAGATTAAAACCCTGGGTTCTACGGCGTGAGCTTTGCACCACTTTCCGAGGAAACGTGCGGCGACAGCAACCTACCGATGGGGTCGATCCAGACGCCGTGGTTCCCGAGGTCGATCTTCCCCGCATTGGGCAGGCACACCTCCTCGGGCGAGTCGATGTCCGAGTGCACGACGCGGGCCAGCTTGCCGGCGGCCTCTCGGTTTCCGTCGAGCACGCGCGCCAAGAGCTCGGCCGTCTCTTCCGGCGTGGGGCACACCTCCACGCAGATGGTCTCCCCAAGGCCATTGGTGAACTGGTTGCTTTCTTCGCCCTTCACGCGGGCGCCAAACCCGGAATCCTTATGGGCAGAAAGAGGGGAACGGAATTTGCGCGTTTGCTCTTCCCTGCGACTCATGTGCGGCGGTCCAGTCATGCTCGTTTATGGAAGGAGCTGAATGGATGAAGCAGAAATAGCACTTTAAATGAGGCAGTGACCTCTGCCACAACACTACGAGAGGCTTAACTAGTTACAGCCCTCACTGCATGTGGGAACACTACGAATAAGACACTCAAATTTGCCGGCAAAAAGAAAGAAAGAAGCGTTAGAAAAATCTGCAAATACAAGCAGGCGTAATCGGTGGACCCAGTCAAAGATACGCCAAACTTCCAGGAGGTCAAAGGCAGGAAGAAATTGGGACAGGAGTGTGATAGGCTATAGAGTTTTTAGACCAGATACGGTGGAAGCAACCGACTGCTGAGGTGCATAGTCACGGTACTTGGAAACGACTTTCTGTTGCAACTCAGTAATGACGAGTGTGCTCGCGCAGCTTCGATCGCCACTCGAGGTGCACAAGTGCGGAAGACCCACTCCTCGCATTTTATGACTTCAGAAAATCGTCCCAGAGTGTACAATGTGCGATACAGTGCATAGAATGCGTCTCCGATGGTTGGGGTTGCTCTCCAGCTTTGACAGACCACGCAAGCTTTGGCGGCCAGGAGTCGGGACAACGCGACGACGGCAACACTCGCGGTGTCCAACTCTCGCTGTTCTCCCAAACTTCTACGGCCAAACGCTAGGATCGCAACGTCCGACAGCACGACCATCCGGCTTTTGCAACGTTGTCCGTTTCCACTTCGGGACTGCTTTGGATGCGTTAATCGGACACTGAAGTTCGGAGACGTGTTACAGCTCCTTAATCTATGGATACCCTGCCGCTAATCTCACCAGTTGGGAGAGGTCGTGCCTGACCATCTCCTGGATGAGGACGTCTGCGAGGGTCTTGAAGTCCCGCAGGAAACGGGGGTTCTTGTCGGCCTCGCCTTTCTCCTCCACCAGCAGGCTGAAGAGCTCCTCCTCAGCACGACACGCGCGTGCCAGCGCGGCCGCCTTTTCCGAGGCACGCACGAGTGCCCCCACCAGCGCGGACATGTCCATCCTTCCGTCCGAGCTGTCGGCTGCAGATGTGCGCGGCGATTTTTCGGTAAATCCCGCCCTCTAATGCTCACTTTGACTTGTGAAAAAAAAAAAAGAGTTCAGCACGTCTTTTTGCGTGAACATTTATATAGTAATTTTTGTTTAAGGATCCAACGATGCAGCACTACCGGAGAATATGTGGGACCATAATTATGATCCAACACAATATAATGTTGCTCACCTTAACATCCTACCAATAAAGTATTCCTAGGGCAACACACAGACCATCCGTGTTCCAAAAATATACAATGAGCCTCTGTCTTTGTGCAGTTGCTGCTTCCCTAGTAAAGCGTTCAGTAATAAGGCAGTGCTCCATTTGCCACATCCTTATTTGTTAAAGAGTTCTTGTTTTTGTGCTGCATTTTGTAATCCCTAACAGTTTGACTGTCTACTCAGCATTATTTTTTGTTTAAACGATGCAGAGTTCTTAGCGTGTTCACGAGAAAGCTTTATTCGAGAACTGATCTGTACTTGTAGAAAGCTGCTTCGAAGCATCTACAGGAATATCAGAAGCACCATATAAGAGTAACGGGCTTTAGTTGAGCTTGTTGTCGCATGATACTATAATAGAGCTGGCTGAGCTTAGGAAAAAGGAATATATTAGAGAGAAAGATTTTCTCTTTATATTTCTTTTTTCCAAGTTCAGCTGGCTGTATTATAGTACCATATAAGAGGCTAGTTTCAAAGCGGCTCCTACACAAAGCTGTTGCTGAACAGAGCCCTTCCATGCTGAAGAATTGATTCCTTTCCTCGTAGATTCTCACCTGAATGGCAGTGCGAGTCAGCCATATTCATCACTGCTATGGAATGGAACCCTGGTGACTGATTGATCCGCTCCTGTAGACTCCAGTTTCACTGAAAAATGTTAGAAAAACTGGACGTTTGTGGTTCGTGAGGAATGCACTGGCCTCGTGCCATTTAGGTGGTGTCATTTGAAATCAATGTTTACATAAACCAGTGGCACGACATCTAATTATGTGAAGTCACAGGTCAGGGTTTGATCCCCAGAAACACACAGGGAAGCACAAGGAAAGTATGAGCATAATGTTTTCACAGCGTCACAATTTATTTAATTTATTACATCTGCACTTACACTATGCAGAAAGAATGTGAACATCAAACAAGTTCATCATCCTTAAAAACAAATTTCAGATGTAAAACAGAATACTTACACCTAAAGGACCCGTGCAATAATTTTAAACAGAGAAAGATGCAGAGGACAACTTTGTGAAAAGCAGGTTGGCTGCCACAGTCAACTATGACATGACGAATTATATCACAAAGAATGCTTCAAAATCTGTACAAGGGAAAACATAAAAAATTGTAAAATTAACGTGCCCCAATGGACCTGTTCAACATAAAAACCGCACATAACGAAGGGCTCACGAAACGCGTTTCGGAAGCAATCAGGTGACCAACTCCATGGGGACATACAAGTTTGAAGTACCTAGAGGGGTCACCCAAGCAACAAGGTACTTTTCTGAGCTGTACGTGCATGCTGTGTCACGGGCTTGACGGGCTTGCACCGCTTTACTCCCTGGAGCTGGTCACGTGACCTAAAAATCTGTCGCCCCCTGGTTACTCAAGTTCAACAAATCCCTTTGCACGTGTAGAGAAAAAGTGCCCCAGGCCCCTGTTGTTTGCCACTCGTTTATCCCCAGAAATGTGCAATGCCACTCGCAAGGTGCAAATTCGTTCATTTTGAACCAATTCCACCCGACAGACAAAATATAGCAATTATAAACAGCCATCCAATGCAAAGATGTTTTAATGCCTAAAGAGGATCTACTTAAAGTAGAATGTATGACATTCTCAGAGATACTTCAGTGCAACTCTTCTATTCTATGTTCACCCGTAAGCTGAGACTACGGTAGAAGCCATGTCTTCGTTAGACCAGTCGTACTGCTCTCCGATTGGTCTGGCGGTCACATAGCTCCCACTATAGTCTCAGTTCAAGGGTGAACAGAGTATAGCACATGCATTTCTAGACTTAAGCTGTGGAACACTTTTATTGCCTTTCTTTCGCCTTTTCAACGCTCCCCTCCACAGCCAAGAGTCGGCATTGGTATCCCAAGACTGGCATAATTTTCCCAGAATTCGTTAATATCCGAAAAGCGGTTATGCACAAGCTCATCCCAGCTGAAAATTCCTTTTAGATCCAATTGAAATTCTAACTTTTTTTTAATTGGAACCAATTGGTTTTAGTAGGTTCCAAATGGGAGCACACTGGCCAATGGGTCTCACCAAATGGAATTATTTTCGCAGTTGGAACCTGAACGGATTACAGCTGGTTCCCACTGACAGTAACCAATTAGTTGTCCAAAAACCTAATTGGTACCAATGGGAAAATTCCAACTGGAACCTAGTGGAAATTTTTAACTGGGATGCAGAAATAAAATTTAAAAAAAAAAAAATTTATATTTATTTATAATCTGATCTCTGTCAAGAGTAGACTTCCTCGTCGGATGTTACACAAACAATAGACAAAACAAGGAGAGGGGTCTCAATAATAATGATGATGATGATGATGATGATGATGTAGGACAAGAGGTCTCCGAATGCTTGAGGCTTCAGGAGCCTCCATCATCTTATCGGACTGTCTTTCTAGCTTGAGGGTCCCACAACAATCGACCGAATTGAGTCCCTACTGGCCGGGCAAGACCACCTCGTACTTGTCTGTCGACCCAGTCCTCAAAATCTCCTCGACAAGCTCCCTGGCGGACAGTTTGTGGCGCACCGTGATGAAGCGTCCCTCCTGGCCTCCCCTGCTGACGCTCTTCAGCCCAAACCGGTGGGCCACCGTGTGGATGTACTTGCGCTCCTCGTTGTCGAACTCGGGCGAGAACACGAGGTCCTGGAGGACCACTGTCCGCGAGAACTCCCGCAGAACCTCGACGACCTTCGCCTTGAAGCCGGGGCTCATCTTGGCACCGGGAGGGGCAGCGTAGCCGAGCCCGTTGCGGTGCGACGTCTCTTTGAGCATCACGGGCTCCACGATGCCAGCGCCCTCTTTCCCGACGCCGCCCCCGGTCCAGCCCATCATTGTGAGCAGACGGTGGCCGACGTTCTCGGTCGAAATGCGCTCCTGAACCGCCTGGGACGTGCCGACGCGGTTCTTGGTGACCTCAGGGCCGCAGCCGTCCACCAGCCTCTTCATCCGCAGGGTCGGCACAAGCCCCCGGAGGTAGTTGAGGGACGTTGCGGCGGCTGCCTCTTTGGCCTCCTGTTTCGAAGTCCCCAAGGCCACCCCGATCTCGCACTGTCCGAGGACGACGGTGCAGCGGAAACTGGACTCGTCTGCGCTCGTCTCAAAAGTGCACTTGAGCCTGTTGGCAGAGGCAGAGTTGTGCAATATGGAGGCAGCGTCCAGTGACGTGTTGTGGTTCTCGAACAGCACAAACGTTTCCAGGTTTAACTGCCCACTGCCATCTTCCAGCAGATTTGCAACTGAATATGACCCGACGTTCCCGGGTTGTTGCCTCTGCTGCGAATGACTCCTTTGAGCCGCTCTCGGTACAGAGGTTGCTGCAGTATTCAAACCAGCTGTCCTCTGGTGCGCTACAGTTGCCTCCACTCCGGAAGCCATCGCACCACAATTCGAAACGCTCGCAGACGACGAGCCAGATCCGAGCGAGTCCCAAGCACGTTGGTAGGCCACCCGCTTGGCTTCTTTCTTGTTAAGTGCAGTGGCCGTTGCCACACTTGACCCATCAATGATGACGGTACACTCAAAGGCACCACCTCCCTTCCCTGCGCTAGCTGTGCCAAACTCGCAGCTCAGCGAGAGACGGCTTTTCATTGTGGCCTGCTGCAGCTTGTCAAGTATGTTCGGCCCGGTGATGGCGTCCTGCCTGATGAGTCGAACGAGTTCGATGAACCTGGGTTGCTGTAGCAGGTCATTCGTACCTGCCACCGGCCCCTGGCTACTAGGTAAAACAGCACTGGGGGCCGGGGTTGCACCCCCAAATGACCCGTTCTCTCTCGCCACTTTTGGGGGGCAAGCAACCTCCGAAGGAGCTTCGCTCGTGCGTTTACGCTCCGCGCTGCCGAGTCCTGCCCTGCTGAAATTTCCGAAGGAACTTTGCATCGATATACCGCTGTACGTAACCTTCGATTCAGAGGTCTCGCAGAGAGATCCGTCGTTGGCGACGGCATCTTCGGCCTTCACGAATGCGACCCGCGCGAACTTGGGCAGCGACGGGCGCTCCGATTTCTTGAGGTCTTTCGCCAACTCCTGAACCAGGTTCACGACCTCGGTGGGGTACCTGCACCCGAGGAGTTCGATGTTCACGAACGTCTGGGCCAGGCACAGCAGTCTGTTCTCGCTGAACGCGCCGCGATGTCGAAGGATAAAGTCCCGGCGCATAGCCCAGTGGTCGTCCGCTTCCCAGCGTTGCCGATACTGTTCCACGCTAGCGTCATCGTTATTCATGGTGGTTAAATGCTTATCGTGCTATTAATCCGACTCTACTGGCATAAAAATCGCGAAAGCAAAGCGCTGTTTACGCTTTAACATTTCCATCAGCCTGATCAGTCTGGAGTGTAGCAGAGGCTGGAACAGACTCAGTTCCGTATTTTACGCGTAATTTACCAGATCATTAAAAATTTTCTTTTAAATTTTTTTTTTTTTTTTTAAGTTTCTATGAATAATTTTTGGAACCCAGAACCAACGTTGCCAAAACAAATTAAACATTTTTTTTTCTTCTTTTCACGGTTTTTTTGAAGGAGTGGTACATCCGCGCAATCCGCCCATAAAAATGCCTTCAAGGAAAGCGTGAACCTTTACTAGTAGCAGCATCCCCCACCAAAAGGGATCTCCGTATAATCAAGTTGGACGTAAGTAAATTAAATTGGGCCGCTCTTACCCTAATCTTTCACGGTCCTTCCTAGAACGTAGCACTGCCGACGCTGCGTTCCCCGTGTCCCACTGGCATGTTGTCTGCTCCGCAAGGCGCACCCCCATCACTTTCGGATTTGAGAGCGCGCATAAAGTGTGCAATAACAAATAGCGAGGGCGGTAGATGCTTTAGAAAAACAGTAATCGACACGATAAATACACCCAAAATAGTACGAAATACGAGCTTTAAAGACAACGCTCGGATGTGGCGCCAGTTTCAAATTCGACCCAGCCTCCACAGGTGATCAACCAGGCATTTTCAGAAATCCCCGGTTCGTGAAAAATTCAACACTACAGTGTACTAGAACGCGTAGCCTAGTACACTGTAACAGCGTTCCCTCTCACAAGCTGTGTGCAGATATGCAAACTGTTTTCGTGGACACAAGCTAGGGCCACGGATTTTATGCTCGTAGTCTCCCAGCTATAGATGAGAAATTTAGCCGGTTCTACTGCACTCGCTAAATTTCTCATCCACAGCTGGGAGGCTCGCCGCCCGTTGAGGCAGACCAAGTTCTAGGCTGTATAAACACACACACACACCGCAACCTTTTTATGGTCGTACAACACCCAGCCATTGTGACAACACAGTACCACAGGCACCATCACATGCAAAATATTCATTTTCTTCTTATGCGCTTCATTTGTACTGTTTATTCAATATATATTACCATTTTGATCTTTCTGCTTCCAAGACTAGTTCACGCTGGCCAGGCTCGTTTGGGTGTTGGTCCATTTTAACACCTGAAAAGAGGAAAAATAATTGTCCTTTAGTGAATATTCGCAGCGATGCAAAAATTAAGCACTATTTGATACCCCATGTTGAAGGTGACATTTTCTGCTTCTGGCGCAGGAGTTGCGGTGACGTCAGAACAACGCTGAGCTCCGATTGGCTTTGATTGAAAGGATAGTGGGTAGACCTCAATGCTACATGCCTCGAGGTCTACCTGCTATTTTTTTTTTTTTCAAAATGCCAATAAGAGCTCGGCATTCGGACATCATCGCAACCCCTGCGCAAGAAGCAGACAAACTTGTGCCCCATATAACAACCCGAAACAGAATGAATCTCTAAAGCAGAAACATTGCATTCTAAATAAATTTATTACGTCAAGGTACTACAGACTTTGTTTCAAAATTTAGCAGTACCCTCACCAGGAAAGACAATTCACCAACCGATCAGATTAGACACCTAGGCAGATTCAAGTTCATGAGCATCAAATTAAAATAAATATATATCAGATTTCCAGGTCAAGTACTGTATGCCATAACGTCAGCTTTGCTGGAGACTCTACTAAGACTCTCATTTTATAGCTCTTTGTTTCCAGTGGCAATGTTGAAATATGCACAGACGACCCTGCCCTTTTGCTGTAGTTTAAATTCTTTCAAGAATTTAAAAAAAAGACAACTTTACATTTTTCTGTTGGGCCACAACAAAGTTTCAGTTCGCCAAATCTAGGATCAACTGGAGGCTCACTTCAAAACAACGGTCCAGTAAGCCGTTTGAGCACTTCAATCTGTGCTGCTGAGAAACACCTAAAATCACTAGCGAATTGTAGAAAACACCAGGTCTCGAAGCGGCCCCGCGATAGCAGACTCCAGAACAACCTTCTCCGCTTTTACTTCTCGAGGCCGGCAAGTTCCCTGACTGGAGTGTTGTACCCCAGGCCTTTCCTCCCAGACATGCCTTAGGAAATGCCAGACTCAAAGATGCCCATTCCACTCCATCAGGGGCAAGCAGATTGGAACCAATGTTGTCCGATGGAATCTGGAATTTTAATTCTATGAACCGGACAACTTCTATAGCCGTTTTTCACTACGAGGCTCCATGGATCCAATTGCTTCTCTATCCAATCCGTGAGTAGAGTAATACTGAGGCAGTCCAAGGCCACCGCTGCTGCCTTTGGTTTCCCTTGCAGTTTGGGTTGTTCAATTGAAAAGCCTAGCTTGTGCCCTCCTAGATGGGTGAAGAAAAACCCAATATTCATCTGGGGTCAGTGAATAGAGCAATCTAACCCTGCTGACCAATGCAGAAGTTGCAATCACCTCCCAGCTGCTTTCAGGCAAGTTGCTGTGATGGTTAAACACAAAATTTGCAAGGCCCACCTGTTTTTCTTTTTCATACAACTGTGTGGCCATCACAGTGGGGTACTCGGTACTTGGCACTCGAGTACCCCATCACAATGGGGTACTCGGCAAAAGAAAACAGCTCCTGTTGGTGTAGACAGTTCAACTTGCAGTTGAGACCACCGCAGGTTGGGCACTGTGCTGACTTTGGTTTGTGGCATCATTGAGTGTTAAAAAAGAAAAGGTTCTTTTGTCGGTTAGGATAAGAGAGTATTGGCCCCTTACCTACGCAGTAACCAAGCACAAGCATCCTCACTCCCAAGCGGGGCACAGCACTTTCAGCGGCCAGGCGCTAGGCACTCTTTTCGTTAAACCCACTTGCGCTTACGAGATACATACCATCACCAGATATGCTGTGCCTGTGGTTACAGACGCTGTGCAATACATTCCATAGGTCAATGCGAAAGCCAAAATCGCACCGGTTTTTTTCGCAACGTTCATCAGGTCTGTACACACCAACCAGTTGGTAGCTTTGCCGTTTTTTTTTTTTTGCTTGCTGCCTATAGATCGCTTGCAATAACTCATCAAGCCTCAAGGCTAGCGGAAGACTTCAATCCATATCATGCACATTCAATACAGCAGGACCCGGTTAACAATGGAAGCCTGCTCTTCTAGCCCACTTGACAGGCAGCCTGTCTGGCTTTAGCCGCTGCAGGCTCTTGCCATATCTTGTTGAGGAAGAGATCGCACTAGTAGTTAGGGGGGTGCTCCTTGACATTGTCTTCGGTTTCTTCACACTCTATAATCTCCAACAGCCTTTCAAATTGTAGATGGGTAGCCCAATCTGCAACCCGTGTTGGCCCTTCCACAGGTATAGGACCACTACTAGGACTGGTGTTATTTCTTTGCTCAGAGGGCCACTACTCCTTCATTGATGCATCTGTGGCACTTCATATTCAAGAATGGTCTGCTTTGCGGTCACCGGCCCCTCACCTTGGACTACAATGCCAGAACTTCCCTTTCTCCGTGGGACTGGCGGCACTCGTCAGCCATGGGTTGCAGGCAAAGATGTGTCGATGGAAGACATTCACATTTTTGTGGACCTCTTTCTACTGCCAGAAAAGATTCGAGCCTCTCAAGCTTGAGCAGCAAGCCCTCGTCCCTAGGAGCGACACCCACCTGATGGGAAGGAGGAAGGAAAAAAAACAACAACAAACGCATTCCAGCAGCGAGGGGCGCGCACAAGCTCACGGTCGTCAACCTGAGCTGGTCGACACCACACTGAGCGCAGCCTTCGGGAGGTCCGCTGTTTCACCCGGTGGTCAGTGCCAGTGGTCCCAGCAACCTCGTTTTCCACGAGTGAGGGGCTCTTTTGAACTTCCAGTGGAGACAGCGGCTTTCGCCGTACGCGAACTGTTCGTTGATAATGCGGTGGGGTCGCCTGCGTCGTCGACGTACTGCTTCGGTTCTCTTGGACGTAGAGTCCATCGCTTTGTTCTCTCCTGGTTCTAGCTGCAGCCGTAAACCAAACGTTGACGGTGAACGAGGGAGTTTTCCAGCTTGCTTCGAGCATCGCAGACCGTGCAGTCCGGGTTTGTCTCCTTGGGCGCGTCCTTTCGCGACATCGGGACTGTTGCATTCCCCTAGGGAAGGGCGGTAGGCGGGATCTGAAGAGTGCACTCTATTCGATCGAGCACAACTTTGGAAGATCGGAGACTCGAGCTCAATACCTTCGAACTCATGCGCAAGCGTTTTGAAGCCCAGAAGCGGCTGCATGGAGCCTCGGACAACGCTTGCATTTGGTCTCGGCTCCGTCGCGTGCCTCTGCCTTCAGACACTTCAAGAACCCACGAACGACTTTGACGTGTCGTCAACGAGTCGAGTAAATTTTCAATCAGGAATGGACTGCTTGAAAACGTATGAAAACTTCAACGCTTTAACTTCCCTACCGATTGTCACTGGCCACCCACACCGGCACCCGCGTCCGTGCAAACTAATAAAAAAAAAATGGAAAAAAAGAAGTTGGCTAAGATAAAGCACTACGTTTTCCCGCGGCTTCAGAACTATATCACGTACCATAAAGCTGCCCTCCAAATATAGAATCTCCTAATTAAAAGGACACCCGAAAAATGAACAAATGAAACTATTTTGCAACATTTTAACCCCGCCGGATGGCGCAAGCCACCGCCCGATTCAGGCGTAACGACTCCGACTATTGGTCTACCCGCCTAGCCCAGCGAAACAAATGGCGCCGAGCTGACAATCGTCGTGCACGCCAACGCTTGAACACATCCGTTTTCTTCTTTTTGTATTAGAGACGCGCGGCTTGAACGCAATTAAAAGCCCGAGCCATGCAAGACGACAGACCACTCTTCGCGCAGGGCGTCATCTACGACTCCCCGCCTCACTCCCCGTCACACGGTCAGTTCGGCGGCAACGGCGGCGCCGCCAGCCCTTTAGCCAGCCCGCGAGGTCATTTCGCGCCCAACCAGTCTCCCGGCGGGTACCCCCGATCGCCGTACCCGCAAAGTCCCCGCTTCAGCACGCCCATACACGGCAACTACCCGAGGCCTCCGAAGTTCCCCAGGGGTAACCGCGGAGGATCGCCCAGGTCCCCCTGGCACTCGCCGGGTGCGCAGCAGTGGCACTCGCCCGGCGGCTACTCCGGACCCTACCAGCAGCATAACCACTCTCATCACAACAGACGGGTACGCGGTGCATAACCTCATTTCCTGTTTGCTCCGACTTTTTTTTACCATGCACGCCACGTGCGTGTTGCCTTCTCGGTTTGGACCTGATCTTTACCATTTCAGTAATCTTCGAAACACTTATCGGCCATTTGAAAACGCACGATTCGTGCCAAAACGCCACCAGAATCGACCTTGATTCTATTTATTTAGATTAACGTACACACAAAACATACGCGTACACATCCTTGGCATTTCCCATTCCTAGCGCACAAAAAGAAAAATCGCGCGCGCGCGTTTTTCAAACACGTCGATATAGTGTCCACATTCGCTGCACTTGTTTCAACGGCGGTATCACATGTGGCCGTGAAGAGGGAAAACCCGCACGGCGAGCTATTGCAACACAAAAAAGTCCGGCAACGGTCGTTGCATACACACCCCACCCGCGCGCACACACAAACACGCTTTGCATCGACCCTGTGGTGCGTGGCTTTCAAAGAAATGCCGCACCCGCGAACTACCTAGCTAAAGTTACAAAGTCTACCCACAGGCCCAGATTTTTCCCACTAACTTTCCCAGAATGCCCTATGAATAACCTGTAGCAACAACTGAGCTCGGAGGTGAAAACAAAATTGGCTTCAACGGCGTTTGTTGGCAATGCCGTCGTCTACAACGCCGTTTCTTCCCTCGGAAAGCAAGTAGGAAACCTAATTAAATATAGATGTCTGTCCGGCGACTTAACAACCCCTTTCAATGTGCCTTGCCGTGCGGACAACTTGCGCGAGAAAACAAGAGGCCACCTGGTCCTACAAACCTTTGTGCTACCGGTTGGGGCCACCTGCCTCGCACACCCTCAACAAATCGGGGAGGGGGGGCAACCCGCTTCCCCCACTGCGGCAGTGGGCACCCTTCGTGCGTCTTGGGGCCCGCCATTTATTTCCGCTTCCTCGCTGCTTCTTCACCCTGGCGTCTGTGTCTCCCCTCTCCCGTGGCCAGTCGTCGGGCTCCAGAGACTCGAGTTGGGTGTCGTCGCCGCGGTCGCAGTTCCAGTCGCCCCGCTTCGGAGGAGGCGTCGACAGCTACGTCAAGGACTCCATGGTGGAGGACCCCTGGGCGGCTTTGGAGCTGCAAAGACCCGCCAAGGTCAGGGCATCGCGAGACGCCAACCGCCCCTCGCCGACCGGCGACTCGGAGCGGCCCGCCGTTTCTGCAACGACGGACTTCGCGAGCTTAAAACCGGCGGAATCCACTCATCTAAGAGACTCGGAGTCGACGGATTTGCAGCCGACAGACGGTGCTGCGTTATCGCCGGCGAGCCTAGCGCTCTCGGACGACTCGAAACCGCTGTGAAAGGTGTAAGCCGCACGCAGTGGGGCGAGGGGGGGGCACCGCATTGTTGAAGAGACCAACCCCAATAAGCTCGAGGAGGCGTAAATGTGCGATGTGAACTGTAAATAAAAGTAGGTTTTATTTGCGATGCACGTGTTCCTGAATGCATATGCAATGAGTATCGCGGTTATGCTTTGTTTCGCCTCGACGTGAACTGCGGTAAAGGCTGCAGGCACAAGCTAGTCACCGGCAGGGCGAGAATGGCACGGAAGAGCTTCAGTTCTCCAGTCTCTAGTGCGGGTTTCCTACCTTTGACAACTCTTCGACGCCTCGCGCACGTCAAAGTGCGCGGGCGGGCCCTGCATTTGAAAGACGTGCCCCGCTCTTATTCTGTCGGCGATTATAACTCTTCAACTGGAGCTCCCCTAGTACAAGCGTTCGTGCGGCTGTGATGCACTAGAAGGGTTTCGTGTAATCCGCTGTAAGTAGCAGCAATATACGGTATAGCTGTTGGATTTGCTTTAACTGCAACTAATGCCGTCTTCAACTCTCGCATTGGTTTGTGCACCACCTCAGCACGCTAACTTTGGTGTCGCTCTCTTACCGGATGGCACGTGCAAACGTCCGAGGGTGGCTCGAGACATGAAAGTGTCGAGAAGCGGATAGGACGAACGAGAACTTACGTGACATAAAGCAAGCTTGGCAACGTCGACTCATACACAAGCACCGGTAGCGGTAGCGGAGAGAGTCAGTTTTTCGGTGGTAGGGCGACGGAAAAACGTTTTATAAAGGGATGCCAGGCGAGGCCCACTTACCACTCAGCTGGCACTGCTGTTCTTGAAGACCCTGCCCGAGGCATCTGCACGGAGGAATTTGAGGGCACATCAGGGTCGTGAACCTTCACCGTGTCGAGCGCATCTTGTAAAACACTCGTCGTACACCACCACCACCAGCAGCAGGGCTCGTCGTGAAACCATTTGCTACCCGCTACCTACGATGAAGCCACACTCGGCTAGCACGGACGATGCCGTCTCAAAAAGTGATCTCCTCCGCGCAAACATCCATTTGAAAGCAGCAGTTTCCTGGCCGCACAGACTCGTGATGCGGACTGTGCTTGCAACGAAACATTCACTGCGATTGAGTTTACCCCGCATCATCTCTCTTATCTGCTCTTCCATCTTCGGTGCGTGACACAGTTGCCGTGAATACAGCGTCGGCGGTGTATTTAGGGCAATCGGGGTGTAGTACCCGGTTTGAGTAAATTCTCCTCGGGGGCGCCAACGCGCTTGGGTTAGTGTCCCGAATAAACATCACCCACCAAACAGACAGCCTTTTATTTCTAAAATAAAAATGGGAGATAACTGTGATCGCTCGTTACGTACCATAAACTGTCGATACCCGCGTGGCAGCGGCCCATTTTTAACTTTGAAGATTTTTCGTGTTTTCTTTCTCGTAGGGGTTTTGGGAGTGATTTCTAACAAATACTCTCAGTTCTGCCCGAATATGAACTGCCGTAGATGTTACGAGTTATCCAGGCCAATTCAGCCTCGGTGTATGAAACGTGACGACCGGCAGGTCACACGTGACACGGCACGTCCCCGGTGCTAGATTGACCGTTTGGCTGGTAGCATCCTCTGCGGTCCAATCTAGGGTTTGAGCAGGAAGTCACTTTTAAACGGACACAGAACTCATCTCACTAGCTGCAGGGCACGTATAATACAACCCCCCCCCCCCCCCCTCCCCCCCCCCCCAAAAAAAAAGAAGGAATGTAGGGCAATATTTACGTTAGGAGACTCATTTCGGTGTAAAGCTAACTCAAAATGACTTTCGCAACGTAAACATATTGCGCTAGAAGACCAGGGGGGGGGGGGGGGGGGGGGGGGGAGAGGAGGAGGAGGAGGAGGGTCATTTTGTGAGGTACATATTCTATCCCAGCACTTTTTTTTTTTGGGGGGGGGGGGGGGGGGATTTAGTGTATTTGTATGTCGCAGAAATCTTTCCTCCATGACAAACTTTAATTGACCGAAAAATTTGACCGTGACGCTCACTAAACGGAAGAACCACCCTAAATCGCACAAGCGCATTGCTTTAAAAAAAAAAAATCCTTGCGCGAGAACTCGTCTCGGGTACACCTAGCATGGCGTAAAGCGCGAGCTCACCAAGTTTCGAAAGTTGCTGTCTATCGCGTGCTGACAGCCAGCTTGCACCACAAAGATGTCCTGTTGAGATGCAACGCTTTAACTTTATGCGCAGCTCGAGCTAGTAACGGACAGATGAATACTCTTTATTGAGCGCAAAAATGTTCCAAAAGCCTGGATTCACAATAAAGAAAACTACACCGACTTGACTCCACAATATTAACCGTTTAATAAGACGTTTCGCCTCCCATGCGGGAGATATGATCAGTGCGTGTTCAGGGACACGAATGAACTGATCGAGCGAAACACGAGCGAGTCCGCCTGCCGAGCACCCACCCTCGCGTATGCGCCAACTTTCAGAACATGATATTCCATTCACGCTGAAGTAAACTAACCGCGGAACGATCTTCTTTCCAGGCAAGACAATTTCTGCGCATCGCTGCAGAACTGGATGGAACACTGCCCGTTCACTGTACCCTCAGACGTGAACCTCTCGCAGACTGAGTTCCGAGATGCAAACGCGCATCTAAAAGACCGCTTCGAAAGTCACGTGCCGATTGCACTGCACAATGGTGGAACAGCCGACACCGCTGAACGTGCAGGTAGCGCGAGCGGGTAGCTTGTCTCGTGCTCCCGCTCCACGAGGGCTCGTAAGCCGGGACGCATTCAAACCCAACAAGCTCGCACTTGTGGCCGCCCATTTTTGAGGGCGATGTTTAGAGCGCATGCTCAGAACGAGATCACATTAATAAGCTGCTAAAACCGGCGATCTCGATGGTGCAAATGCACGTTGCAAAAGAACTGTGGAAGCCCGCCGTCAGCACTCGAGTATACAGTTATGGCCGCCAAACGAGCGCTTGTGCAACGAAAAGTGGCTGACGGAACCGCTCTTACGCAAGTACAGCACCTGTTCCACCACGGAACACCTGACTCAAGCTATCGGTGTACTCTTTGTTTTCCTTATTGCTCTTGTTTTATGGCACTCCTCGCGATGTGCAATATCAACTATTCCAAGTACGGGCTCTGGAGATCAGAGCTTAGGCGTTCCCGGCGGTAATGAAGTACAAGAATGAACACAAATGACGTCGCAGCTGCGCCACTAGTGATAAACAAAGAATAATAAAAAGTATTTGTCGGAAGGAACCGAGTTCGCAGTGATTTGCCAGCGTACGAGAGCGAGCCCCTATAGTTGATGAAATGGACAGCTCGTGCAGCGACAGCAAAGTCGGCTTGCTAGAATCGGCGTCTAGGGGCTCTAAACTCGTCGAGCACGAAGTTGGGGCCGAAGTTGACAGAGCGCACCGATTGGCCTATCACGACGATGACTTGGCGCTTTTTTTGCCGACGTCCAATCGACGCGCTCTGCTAACTTTCGGCTCCAGCTTTGTGTTCGACGAGTTTAGGGCCCTAGATGTGCTGTCTGTGTTCTGTCCTGCTGGTGATAGAAAGCCTACCAAGCCTCGCGCGCTAGCTTTGGCGGTGCCTTCTGTCCGCCCTAGCTGAGAGGCTGGTTCTAGCAAGCCGGCTCCTACTCCGCGACAACTTTCCTTGGCAATGCAGTGGAAGGTACAGGCCCGCGTCCCCTCTCCCATTTTGAGTGTACGCAGGCTCTCCTCCTCCCCCATTTCCGGGGAAAGCCTGCGTACACTCAAAATGGGAGAGGGGACGCGGGCCTGTACCGTCCACTGCATTGCCAAGGAAAGTTGTCGCGGAGTATAGAGCAAAAGGACCCAAACCCGCTTGCAGATTCTGGCATACCATCACCTTTGTTTAGGATGAGAAAATTACGCGGAGTTCTTTCTTAGGATGATCGCCGAGCCACCGGAACAAAACAACTAAAACCCGCGTAAGTGTGGAAGTTTAACGCCCGGGATGTGCCGAGACCACGCTGCAGGAATAATGGACGAAACACCCTCGTAGTCGATGACAAGTGAGAGTTCTGCGCAGTCTGTGACGATCGAGTCGATCGCATTCTGGCAGGGGCGAATCCTCGCAAGAACGGAGCGACCGCGGGGTTGTGCGGAGAAAACAAAACGACCATAGACGAAAGGGTTGTCTCCAACTGCTGGCCGCGTGTCGTGAATAGAAATAAACGCGCTCACCTCGAATAATCAAAGGCTGTGAACAGTCTCCTCCATCGAACGTCATCAGGTTAGCATGGCGTGAACGGCGGCCATTGTTTCCTGTCTGTGGCAGAGCGCGTGCTAATAGCAAACGTCGTTTTTTTTTTTTTTTTTTTTTTTTTTTTTTGGCAGCGTGCATTGAACAGCGCGCTCGAATATGGCGTCATTACCCACTAAAGGGAATGCTGGGAACGCCATACAAGTGTTCACCTTATGTGCATTGCAACGTGCGTGCAAAGTTCCATTTGCTTTTGCAGATGCCAGAACACGCAACGCGAGTAAATACTCTCGTGCGCGCTCCTTGGTGCTCGGGTGCCTGACACCGAGCACCTGACGCCATAAGCGCCAACTACGGGGGGGCAGTGGGGCTCGTGCCCCCCCCCGGACGGCTTCACGGGGGGGCAGAGCCCCCCCCCGGCCCCGGCCCGGGATTTTTTTTAAAGAGCTTGGCTTGGGTCTGCGCCCATCGACAGTGGACTGTTGGCCGTCCTGACTGGCAGCTATTTCACAGGGGCCTGTTTATTCCCGCTTCTTATTTCCTTTCAGGCTTTTAAATGGTGGATCTCGGGACAGTGACAGGTCAGACATTCAGTGGAAAATTCCCCTCAGACGGAGTTAGATGCGCGGAATATGTTGTCTGAATGAACAGCTGAAGTGCCCGCTTCAGCTATGACAGGCTAAAAAAAGTCTTGAAAGCGTCGCGACATCTCTGTCGGTTTTTAGACAACAAAAATGCTTCTGAGAATAGGAAGCATCCCCGACACAGTGAGTCAGTGACTGATTCTGCAGACCTGCTCGCCAAGAAAAAAATTTTAATTTCTTGCGCGTCTACAAATGAATGCCCTTTCGGCCAAGAAAATATTGTACACATTTTTGATTGGTCAGTGAAGGGCTTTACTACCAGTCTTGTCACCGAACAGCGACTCGAATACTCGTCCAGAAAACAACTTTTGGCGGAAAAATTTGTAACCCCAGCTTCGCACAACGTATAGTGGTATCAAATGGTCTTTGCTACCGTCTGAGAATTATTTTTGGCCCTCTTAACATTGAAGTCAGTCGTATAATTAAAGCTTCTTGTGCCACCATTACCCCACTCTCCCCTGCTGCATGTGTTAACAAAATAAACAAAACATGACAATAAAATACACACCAGAAGCCAAATAACAGCATCGCAAAACACAACAAAAACAAAGGGACACTGCTTTGAAACAAAAGCCTGTGGGGAAGAGAGCGATTGGGCCTTCGGAGTCTCTACGAAGGCCAACTTTGGGGAAAGAATAATCATCATGCCCGATACGTGTTCCTTTTGTCATTTTTAAAACGTTTGTATGGACAGTGCGGCGCTAGGCGGCACAATCCGCTCCCCTTTTCCGTTTTATTCTGAATAGGCTTCACGAACATTCCCAGGGAAGGCATTCATACATATACGCCGCAAACAGTCAGTAGAATAGCAAGTGCTTGATCACTTCCTTTGAGGCAAGGTCACCGGAGCTTATTACCTGTGGAAACTATTTTATATTAACTCCCTGGGTTGAGGCTTATTTGACAAAGAGACGGAAGCAACTGAAGGATCGTGATTGGAGTCCCGGAATAACGAG